CCCCCCAAAAAAAAAAAAAAAACAAACTAATTCCAGACCCATATATATATATACTTTGGCCCAAAGTACCTATGCAGGGACCACCTTCAGGCCAAAGTATGTACTGCTGGGGTACATGGACCCTTAAGGATTAGGCGTCAGAAGTTTTGCCGTGGTGCAGTCCAGGTGCCGCAGAGCATCTCAGTTGCATATTCAGTGCGAGCTGAGGGCGCTGTCATGTCCCCCGCCCTACCCTAAACCCTGAATCCTAAAGCCTAAACCCGAAAGCCTGAACCCTGAATCCATACCAATCTCAAACCTCCGGGTTCTGTAAGATACACGCAGTGTACGTGCAGCAGGAAAACTGCAACACCATGAGCACTCAGCCATGCATCCTAATCTCTTATTATCCCTGAACTCGGGTACTGCTCCCCCTCAGTAACATTCGGATAATATTCATAATACAGAGATATCAGGCCCTTAGTAGTAGCCCTGTTAGACTGTTGCTGTATGGGGGCAGTACCCTACCCTGAACCGTAGTCGTCACGGGCCTCATGGTGCAGGCCGGAAGGCTGCAGGGCAGACGATTTTTCTTCCGATTAGATTAGACCTATAGCCTCAACTACAGATCCTCTTTTGGGGTACCTTGTAGGATTCCAAACAGTTGCTTTTTTGGGAGCGCCTTGTAAGATCCTATATTATACACTAGAAGATGCCCCCACCCTGTAATAGTGGTATGATAGGAATATAATAGGGCCCTAATATAATCCTTATAGTAGCCTTATAGTCACTATTACAGGGTGGGGGCAGCTCCTAAATTATCCATCCTTTTGGGGGGGGCACCTGACAGGATCCTCCAAAATGACCCCTTTCTTGGGAGACTCGGCGGGATCCTAAGGAGCAAACTCGTTAAACCGAAAAAATAGAATTGCAACGGAGACTATACGTGGAATCCAAGGTTAAGGGTTAAAGGATTCAAGTATCTGTTTAGACTTCAGGTGTCAGGGTTTGGGTTTCATAGGGCTTAGAGCCCAGGCCAGGTACCTCCGCATGTACTATGGCTATCTTGACTGTTCGCATATGGGTGGTTCTCAAAATTATGGTCCCTTTTGGGGTCCCGATTATGATACAGCACCTAGTATTTAGGGTACCCAAAAAGGGACCCTAATTTCGACAACCACCCATATAGGGTTGAGGGACCTTGCATGGTCCTCGACCCCAAACCAAAAACTCCAAACGCACAGAGGTGCATAGAGTCTTGACCGGGTCCCCGGCATGTACTCCACACGAAAGCATGCAAAACGAAAGAGACAGCCGAGCTTTTCATGGGCTCGTGCTAACAACGTGAGGTAGAGATACCACGGTACAAGTATTCACTACATATCCGTATCCTGGACAATATAAGTTCTTCAACAAGAGCCCAGTTGCGTCCGCCCCTCCTGCATCCTGGTTCCCAAGGCAAACTCCAAGAGTTCGCTTGGCGACATCAGAAGCTGCATGATCAGATCAGGCTGGAAAGGATCTGAAGCCGAGCATTTTGTTTCAGGTTGAGGTGTGGAGAGCTGCAGACCTCACCAGCAATGGCAAACAGGGCAACAAGCACACCGACAGATTCGGAATGTGAACCATGGTGCCTACGTCATTTCCTGGCCGTCGTTCGGATCATCATCGTCGTCACCAAGGCAAGAGCATGTCTCACCCATCTCACACCTACCCTCATCGTTATCATTCGTCAGATCTCACCAGCATTATAAATAAAAAACGCTGCTTCGATCTCCGTCTCACTCAGCCGAGCTTTACACCGGCAAGGTTATAAGTTACAGTGGTCGTTTCCATGCTTCGGGTGCTTGTAGACTGTTGAGCCTCTCCAGCGTGAAACCTCTGTGCCCTGGAGCCCAACTCTCAAAGTCTTGCATAAGCACAGAGGCCCCAAAGTAGTTCCTTTTTGGGATTACCTTATTATAGGATTCTATATATATATGAACCCCAAAAAAGAACTACTTTGGGGCCTCTGGGTAAGCACAGAGCCCACCTCAAACATTGAAGAACAAGAACCTTTCTTCATTCAAGCAACATGTTTTGAATTCCGGTGCATTGCAGGGGAGTTGTCATTAGCATTCCTGTTTTTTCCGCAGGGTTTAGCTACTATAGAAGCCCACATAACTACGAATACTATTCCTTGGGGCTCCTGTTTTCAAAAATCGTATCATGGGCCCCAAAACCCTATGCTACTTATTAGGGCCCTAAACCCTGAACCCTAAACCCATCCAGTAGCAGTTCGGAGCAGGGAGTCTCGAAACAGCCGGCACAGAGTTTAAGCTTGAGCCAGCTAATGTTTGCCTTAGGGTTCAGGGTTTAGGGTTTAGGGTTGATGAATTATCCTGCATTACCCACAATATGAGCATACCAGAATTCCCATGGTTCAGGGTCTTAAGGTAATGCAGGATTTATATCATCAACCGTACCGCTAAGCCCGAAGCCCTAAACACTAAACCCTACCTGACCCGAGCGGTCCCAGCAACGACAGGCTGATCAGCCAAGTCTCGGAAACGCTTCTCCAGGACATGCGGGCTTTGGTCTCGCATTTCATTAGGTTTAGGATTTGATTGGGTTTGGGGTTGAGGATTTTGGGTGTGGATTTAAAGTGTAGGAAATGGAATATTGCGCAACTGCTACATGCGGAATTAGCTTGGAGGTTTGCAACATGGTCAGTGGCTGGGTGTACTTTCCGAATCAAAGTACCTGCTTTCGTTCTCCGGCCGAGTAAGTAAGTTGTCTCGAATTGACAGAAGGCTTGGTGTTTCTGGGTGCGCAGAGTTCAGGGGTTTCAGGGCTGTGTGTTCAAGGCCTTCTGCTTCTAGCAGCCTATTCAGTACGGACTGGCACAGAGTCCGGCTACTCTAGTTCTGCTTTAGTTGCTTCTTCCCAATGTCCAACAGCCTGAAACTGGATCCAGAAGCATCAATGTTTAGGCTCCTTGAAGCCCTGCAGTCATCAGTAGGCTTGATCTAAGCTGTATCTCCCCAAAACCCTAAAACCCTAACCCACCCTCCAGAAAAAATAGACCCTTAACCTTCAAGTTGTTCTGGCAGGACCGACCGGCAACACACATGGGTGGTTGTCAAAATTATGGTCCCTTTGTGGGTCCCTATTATAATACGGCGCCTACTATGTAGGGTACCCAAAAAAAGGGACCCTAATTTTGACAAGCACCCGCATACATTGGTCACCGGAGGTCCCCCCCCTTCTGATCCTGTCCTCAGAGTTGCTACGGAGCTGATAATGGGGTTTAGGGTTTAGGGTTTAGGGTTTAGGGTTTAGGGGTTTAGGGTTTAGGGTTTGGGGTTTGGGGTTTAGGGTTTGGGATTTAGGGTTTAGGTTTTGGGGTTTAGGGTTTATAGTTTTCCGTGCATTGGGCCCCAAGTCCCGTAGGCCACCCTTCTCTTACTGTATCGCTAAAGGGTGCAAATACATCTGGGATCCATTCGCTCAAACCCTCAACTTACAAAAGGGGGTCTTGTCCAAACAGGGCTCGAAGACACTTTATTACATTAAGCGCGTAGCTAATAACTATGGCGACGGTAAGGTAGGAGAGACTAGATCATCGAAAATGTCATCGAATATGTCATCGAATATCTCAGCAGACCTGTCAGCGAAAATGTCACCGAATATGTCATCGAATATCTCAGCAGACCTGTCAGCGAAAATGTCACCGAATATGTCAACGAATATGCCTTCAAAGGCATGCAGATCTCGGTCTCTTACTCTAAAGCAACTCGACGACCACGACAAGACACGAAACAAATACAAGAACAAAGGCATTTATAAAAGAACTAGACAAGCATTCCAGCACTCAATGCAAGACATTGCTTACACCTTCCCCCCCAAGGAGTGGCGGGAGCCCCGCAGCTCTATGAGCAGTGGGAACGAAAAGGTGTCAGACCCGAAGTCTCAACCCGCAAACAACCGATCCACAGAAAAAGCTCTTACTACACGGCGCATTTACAAAAGATCTTTAAAAGCGGAAACCATACGAAAAGCCAACCGAAAGCAAAAAAGACAGGAGAAGCGTAAAGAATATCGTATGTTGAGGAAGTGTTATACTGTTCAGGCTACGCAGTATAGCTCTTATCAAGTAGCTCAAGAATGCTCTACCGAAGATACCACACTTCAGCCAAATCAGCCCATGAAACAAAACACAGAAACTTCTGCAAAAATGAAATGGACGAACACTAAACTAGCTACAATAAACCTAGGAGGAGGAATTACCCATGTATCTGGCAGGCAGAAGATAGTCCATTTAATGACGGAGAACCAGATCGACATTCTAGCTTTGCAGGAAACACGGGTGAACCATTGTTCAATGGAAGAACATGATGGCTACACTTTTTACTTTTCGTCGGGCATCTCTCATGAAGCTAAAGTATCTGCAGAACAAAAAAGAGAACAACACAGGCAATACGCAAATACAGGATTATCCGAAATACAGCTGTACAATTTGGATGCAGAAAAACACGGAGTAGGATTGGTTTACAGCCATAAACTACGACCTTACAAGAAAAACATACAACAAATAAATGGCAGACTTCTACTAGCAACGTTTGATACACAACCGCTCTGTACAAATATCATTGTAGCCTATGCCCCACATGCGCTTCGACCTCAAAGGGAAAAGGACGATTTTTACGACAAACTAAATAGTACGCTAAGCAAGCTGCCCAACCATGAAATGAATGTAGTAATCGGTGACTTCAATGTGAGGCTTATGGAAAAACTACCACACGAAGACATGATCTTAGGTGAACATATCTTCGGTACTCACGAAGACAGAATAGACCTATTAAGTGAACAGCAGAAAGACAACCGCGAGCGTTTTCTCTCAATGTGCCAAGACAACCGGCTAGTGGCTACAAACACATTATTTCAGAAGGACCCCGCCAAACTAGTAACGTACCGGAGTCCTACAACTCTTAGCTTCTCGGAACCTTACACGACGTCGCGCTTCGCCCAGCTGGACTACATATTGATCAATACAAAGTGGAAGAATGCGGTGACCAATGCTGAGTCTAGTTGCTGTCACTCAATTACAACGGACCACAAACTTTTATTTGCTACGTTGCGTGTAAAACTTGCGAAGGCGCGATATGCGCAACCCAAGAATCGCACAAAATATAGACCCCCCACGCAAAATCAGATAGATAGCTACAACACTCAAATTTCGGAGCTGATTGCAAAAAGCGAACTCCAGTGTACAGACGACCCACTAAAGATATGGGCCGACATACTTCATGAAGCGGCTACTAATGCATTCACGTTAATTCCTCCAGAGCAAAGAAAACCATATATTTCAGCAGAGGCTTGGGACCTTCTATGTAAGAAACAACAACACAATCAAGCAGGGAACATACAAAGTGCAAGGGAACTCGAAAAGCAACTGAGGAAGCAAATCCGATGTGACAAAAGAAAGAATATGCTGCAACAGTTGGAAGAGATGGACGAGCAAGGGTATAAATGGAGAGGCATAAAACAAATGAGGAAAAAGTTCTTCCCAAGGCACACAAAATTCAAAGATAAGACAGGCAACCCCATTCCAGAAAGCAGCTTCCCTGCTGCGGCAGCAGAGTACTTAACGAATGTGCAATGGAAAAAGCCGGAAACTGCTCAAGAACCCAAGACTGCTCCTCTTTCTGATGTTGGGGCAACAGTTAACCAATCTGCTTTTGAGCTTGACGAGTTCAATGCTGTGATCAAGCGGTTGAAATGCAACAAGAGTCCCGGGCCGGATGAGGTTACTACTGAGCTGGTAAAATGGTTGAACAACGACAATAGGACAAAGCTACTAATTCATTTCAACGACATACTGCTTCATGGCAATTACCCGGAATCTCTCAATCTGTCCAACATCGCGTCCATTTATAAAAAAGGAGATCCCGCGAAATTGGAAAATTATCGGCCAATAGCTCTTTTACAGACCTTCTACAAAATGTTGGCAGCTCTTGTCAAGAACCGTTTAGAACCTGCACTGGAGCCGTGGATGTCAAAAACCCAGTTTGGCTTCCGAAAGAAAAAATCTACATCGCAAGCCTTATTTATCGCAAGAAGACTTATGGATATGGCAGAAAGGCAAGGTACCAACTTAACGCTTGTACTATTAGACTGGGAAAAGGCTTTTGACAAAGTAGACCAAGACAAACTCATCGAAGTACTAACCCGGTTAAGTATACCGCAACGTATCATCGGCATTGTCCAGAACATTTATGAAAATGCAAAATTTAGAGTTGTAAAAGGCCACATCCGCTCCAACTATCAGACGCAAAATTCAGGAATACGACAGGGATGTCCATTATCACCATACCTTTTTGGAGTTCTAATGACGGCAGTCTTCCAGGACATCAAATCAGTTTTGTGCACACCAAAGCAAAGACAACCTATACCAGGCATTAGCTATGCAGAAGTTCTTTATGCCGACGACACACTATTGTTTGGAACGCACACCCACACGATAAACAAGTTGCTGCGACAAATACAAGAAGAGTCAGCTAGATATAATATGAAACTTAATTTCGAAAAATGTATCAATCTTACTATCAATCGCAAGCAGTCCTCTATCAAATTTATGGATGGGTCGGCCGTTCCGAGAAAAACCCAGGCAAAATATCTTGGAGCAACTCTAACAGACGCCGTTGACAACCACCAAGAAGTTACGCGTAGAATCGGGGAAGCCACAGCCGTCGCCAAACAACTAGGTTTGTTCTGGTCAAAAGCCCGTACAACAATTAAATGGAAACTACGAGTGATGGAATCCATTGTCTTCAACAAGTTGGTATACGGCTTAGAAACTATACAACTTACGCGTCGTGAACAAGACCAAATCGACGCTTTTCAACTAAAAATGTTCCGGCGTGTGCTCAATATACCACCTACCCATATCGACAGAAGCTGGACAAACCAAAGAGTTGTGGACACTCTGTGGCACATGCATAAATTCAATCACGTTAAACTATCAGTTAAATGGAAGCAGAAAAAACTTACCTTATTAGGCCATATCCTGAGGGCACCACACAGTGACCCAATGCGGGAAATACTGTTTCAACCGGGAAAGAACATTCCTAGAAGCGAGCATGTGCGTAGGGTCGGCAAACCGAGAGCAAACTGGCTTCTAGACACATTCGTAGAAGCATATGCATTTTTACATCCTCAAGCACGCTTCGATGAAACCGCCCCTGCGCTTTGGAACGAAATAGCAGACACGGCCATGCGCCGCGAACCCCCTTTTAAGACAAAGGTCAACGAAGCCTGAAGGAGAGCCGGAGAGCCACCTGATAATGCCATATTACGATTAACAAATCAACGAAGATTTCACCGAAGATGTCATCGAATATGTCATCGAATATGTCGTCGCTAAGCCTACGGAATCATTTCAGTGAGAAGGTTTTTGCGATTATCACCGAAAGTGTCACCGAATATGTCATCGAATATGTCGCCGACGAAGTGACATTGTAAAGGATTATAGTCAATGATAATGCAAAACGACCGTTATCTATGATCCCTAAACCCTATCTTACCCTATCCAACTTTTCATGAGCCCCAACTCCAATATCTCTGTACACAAGCGCTTGTGGGACCCTTCAGTCTACTTGCTCGATGCGGCAGTGGTGTAGCCAAAGTTTTCCCATCTTTTGTGCAGATCTCCGCAGATCTCCTCAGCCTCTGATAACAGATGGCTGCAATCCTTTCCCGAAGTTGAGCAACGCTCAGCGCCTTGTGGAGCTGCGTATCAGTGAGTGAGTGAGTGAGTGCATTGGGCCCCAAAAGGCTTAAGCACAGTCGTCCGCAGACACTGGTAGCAGGTATAATGGGGTTCAAGGGTGGCAAGTTCAAGAGGGACCCTAGTGCAAAAGGCTGTGCGCAGTGTAGCTTATTTTTTTTGTTTGTGTAGCTTGGCACGGGCAATCATCCATCCTTACGCAATGCCGACGATCTGATGGTAGTGCAGGGCTCGACTACGGCTACACTTGGAAGGGTTTTCTGTACCCGATACTTGAGAATTCAAAGAATTCACCTGAAGTCATCGTAAGACATCTGCTTAGTTGCAGGAATATGTACTGCACTGCATCGTAAGCCAGGACATGATCCTGGCACAAGACGCCGGCAGCTTAGAATTCCGAAGGGTCCAAGTCAAGTATCTCATAGTCAGATACTTTGCCAGATACTAACATTAAAACCTTCTCAGCTGAGTGGATATAGTAGATAAAGTTACAGCATGATGGGAGCAGGAAAGTTAGGAGTGCCGTCTTCGAAGTTCTTAGTTTCAGGAACCCGTGTGTGTGTATATATATATATATATATGTATATTATGCAAATAATATATATATATATATACACATACATATATACATATATACATAAATACATACATATATACACATATATATATATATATAGATAGATAGATAGATAGACAGACAGATATAGGTATGTGCACACGAACTTGTATGCATGTGTGCATGTATGTACGTATGTACATACTTTTCCAGTTGACGGTTTAGAGTTTAGAGCTTTATACCCTTCAACTTCGTAACCGATCTTGGCTCCCCACTCGCCCGAAGAAGCAAAGCTTATACCTGGACTTGTTGTTTCCGCTTCCCCTGCTTCCCCGGCCCTACACGCGGAACCCTAGAGCTAAACCCCCGCTCTCTTGAACTTGCAGCCATGTCGTGTGCAATCCAGAATCCGTGCCTGGGACTCTGTCTGTCTGTGTGTGTGTCTGTGCGCATCAGCAGCAATCCTTCTTCCTGTTCATCCTAAACCCTAACATCTCAACAAAAGTCCATGCGGAAAAGCCCGACAGACCGTAAAATCCCAAGCCTCAAAGCCTGAACAGTGTCACCAAGGTTTTTTGAAAGCAGTGGAATGATAGGTAAATGCATTGCGACCAAAAGACCCAACAGCTTCTCTGGGGAGGGTTGAGCTGCATTGCGACCCAGTTTTCGGGGCACAGGATTGCAGATTGGAGGGTTTCATTCAAGGATAGGTTCAACCACCTACATAGATTCTTGAGGCAGCTGTCGGATTTTCTGCGCTTTTGTGATCTGTTGTGAGCAGTGGGCACATCTTTTGGCAGTACCCAGACCCCACTTAAAGAATGATTTTTGCTTTAGTGAACTTTGTTTTGTGGCTCATAAGTTTGGTTTGAGGTTCAGAATTCGAGGACTCCTTTTTGAGACTCAGCTCAACCAGGAGCCGTTCACGCTTTCTCCGAAGGGCGGGAGGAGTCGTCAGCCCAGCACGGGACGCATCGACTCTTTTGACTCAGCCTCTTGGTACAAGTTGCGAGTTTTTGCTCCAATTTCAAACTTTTGGTGATGCAAACCCTAAACCCTAAACCCTAAACTATAAACTTGGACCTTCATGGGATGAACGTACACACAGTATGGTACGGCCTCGGTATATGCTTTACTGCCACATTTAGCACATGGACTCCTAGGGCAGGGTTTATGCTGCATGAAGAGTTTATGATAGGGAACGCTTGTTTTTTAGAACCCTTGCATCTTGAGATCTAAAATCAGCACCGCAGCGTCTCAGTTTGAACATTCTCCGAAACGCAAACTTACAATTGGAATTGTCAGGCAGTTTGCCCCGTAGGATAGGCAACGAGCCCTAAACTAAGCACCCACACCCTTACCCCTAAACCCCAACCCTTAACCCCCGCACCTGAGACCATTAAGCACCTTGTAGAGCCCCACTTACATCCTTGGACATATTTTCCATATACCTACAGTCTTCATTGTAGTTCCTTTGTTTGGTAAGGTAGCCCCACAAAGGAGCTACAATGGAGGACCCATATTAAGGCTCAAAACAAGAACCTACAAGAAAGCAGGTTTTGGTAGGTTAAGGTACCCAGAGGCCCCGAAGTAGTTCCTTTTTGGGGTTCATATATAGAATCCTATAAGGTAGTCCCAAAAAGGAACTACTTTGGGGCCTCTGGGTAGATGTATATTGCTCACAAAGCCCACCCCAGGCGCCAGCAGGTGGCCACGCTACGGGCCACACCCCGATCCTTGGTGTTCTTCTGGATGACTCCTTTAAGGGATCCTTAAGGGTAAGGGATCCTTAAGGGTTCCTTTAAGGGATCTATAGGAATTCAGGGTTTAGGGTACCCTGAGACTCTTACATCCCTTAATTTGGGCAATTGGGGCATATTCCTTGAATCATACGAGCGATCCTACTATGATTTGAGGTTTATACCTTAATTAAGGGGAGATGGAGTCTCTGCTTCGGGATGGCTCTTAGGACTTTTGCTTTTGCAGCTTTTTGTATGAACCATAATAGGTAAACCCTACAAGCCCTAAATCCCAAAAACCGCTAAAAACCCCAAACCCTAAACTTCCTAAGCCCTAAAAACCCTAAACCCTAAACTTCCTAAACCCTAGAATCCCTAAACCCTAAACTTCCTAAACCCCAAAAACCCTAAACCCTAAACTTCCTAAACCCTAAAAACCCTAAACCCTGAACTTCCTAAACCCCAAAAACCTAAACCCTAAACTTCCTAAACCCTAAAATCCCTAAACCCTAAACTTCGTAAAGCACAAAAACCCTAAACCCTAAAATTCCTAAACCCTAAACCCTGAACTTCCTAAACCCCAACAACCCTAAACCCTAAACTTGCTAAACCCTAAAATCCCTAAACCCTAAACTTCCTAAGCCCCACCCTAAACTTCCTAAACCCCAAAAACCTTAAACCACAGAAACCCTAAAAACCCTAAACCCTAAACTTCCTAAACCCTATAAACCTTAAACCCCAGAAACCCTAAAAACCCTAAACCCTAAACTTCCTAAACCCCAAAAACCCTAAACCCCAAAAGCCCTAAAACCCACAAAACCCGCTAAAGCGCCGAGGATCCTCAGTGCCAAGCACTTCTTTGAGCAGCGGAGCCTCTCCCAAGCGCCGCTCATCTCGGCCTTTTAAAGGGCCTTCAGATGTTTAGGGGTTTAGGGTTTTAGGGTTTAGGGATTAGGGTTTAGGTTTTTAGGGTTTAGGAGTTAGGGTTTAGGGGCTTAGGGTTTAGTGTTTTAGGGTTTAGGGTTTTAGGCTTTAGGGTTTAGGTTTTTAGGGTTTAAGGGGTTCAGGGGTTTAGGGTTTTAGGGTTTAGGGGTTTAGGGTTTAGGGGTTTAGGGTTTTAGGGTTTTAGGGTTTAGGGTGTAGTGGTTTAAGGTTTAGGGTTTAGGGGTTTAGAGTTTAGGGGTTTAGGGTTTTAGGGTTTATTGTTTAGGGCTTCAGATGTTAAGGGGTTTAGGGGGATCCAAAAAGCACACAAGCATAAGCATTTTATGGGGATATCCCTACCTTATTGGGCTTCCTTCTTAAGGGGGTTTATATCGGATATCCTACCTTAGTGGGCTTATGTGCTTTTTTGGGGCCCTGATTAAGGGCTTCAGATGTTTAGGGCTTTAGGGTTTTAGGGTTTAGGGTTTAGGGTTTAGGGTTTTAGGGTTTATTGTTTAGGGCTTTAGGGGTTTAGATGTTTAGGCGTTTTTGAGTTTTTAGGGGTTTGCGAGTTTAGATGTTCAGAGCGTTAGGGGTTTAGGGTTTGGGGCTTAGAGTTTTAAGGGTCTAAGGGGTTCACTGGTTTGGCGGTTTAGGGTTTTTAGAGGCTTTAGGGCTGTTGGGTGTCAGGGTATAAGGCTTTCAGCGGCTGAACGGTTGAGTTTTCGGAGTTTGAGGGGTTTTGGGTGATGAGTTCTGGTTGCGAAGGCCAGGACCAACAGTTGTGCTTGCTATGTTGAAGATACTTGAAGGATCATGGGACTTAGTAACTAAGATTATTATTAGGGAAGCTATACTTATAACTACTTATATCCCCAAGTAAGGTACTTCTAACCATACTTACTAAGTCCCACGATCCTCCACGTACGACTGTTTAAGCTTTCGTTTGCTATGCACGGAGTCTGAGGAGCATTCCCAGCGTGGAGCGCATACAGTCTGACTTCCTGCAAAGCCAGATGAGCTGGGCAGCTTGCCTTGAAGTTTGGTGGGGCCCAGAGACCCCAATCTCCCCTAATTAACGAATATTCCGTAACTCATTTTAAGGATCCTATTTCTGTTTAAGGTAGCTGAATACCTTGATTAAGGGATATTAAGAGTCTCTGGGGGGTGGGGAGTTCTGATACATACGTAGGTCTGTTACTGAGCGGCCCTTAGAAGCCTAATAAAGAACATGGATCCTTGTATTTCGGGTCCGAATCAGGGTCCGTTGTTTTCTGACGCTCCCGCGCTAACATTTGCTATTCTTGTCAGCGGTGGTAAAACCTAAAGCCTAAACCCTTCCTCGTAATTACCGCATCACAAGGATGGTTTAGTGAGCGAGCTTCATGCTCACGGGTTAGGGTTCGTCAGGTTTTTGATGGGTGACATGGTCATAAGTCTTCTTGAAAGCTGAATCTCATCATCCGCAAGGTGCCCGCCCTGACAGGTAATGTTGTTTAGTTCAACTCCCACCCCTCGGAGCCCTGCCGGAACCAGAACGCAGATGCCTTCGATGATTTTAGGTATGGTGCCGAATTTCTAGTATCTAGAATCTAAACCCTAAACCACATTGGGGAACACAAGTGTGGGCTAAGACCAGCTGAGATCACAAGCCATCATCCTCATAGTGCTTTTTTCATGGGGGCCCTTGGGGGCTAAGGGGGCAGGGGTGTAGGGGACTATACTTCCTCGTATCAGGTCTTATGGTGGGATTATGTACTAGTGATCTGTCTGGTTCTTGGTAGGGAATGGGGGAGTGGAGTATGAGGACTATATACTATTGGGGATTATATAGGGACTACTATAGACTATCCCCCAAGCCAAGCAACAATAGTAGGGCACCCCGAGTCCTCACAGCATGCAAGGCCGGAGCACAAAGCAGCTTGAAGAGGCTGGGTGCAGGGTTTTGTTAGTCTAGTCTTTTGGGTTTTTTTAGTTAGTTTAGTTTCTGTTGGTTTCAGGGGCTTAGGGCTGTAGTACTGTGGGGTTCAGGCATTTCCATTACAGCCAATGATGGTTGCATGTACCGGGTCCGCCTCCGTCCAACCAAGGTTTCGGGGTTTAGGGTTTGGGGTGTATGGATTCAGAGTTTAGACCCCTAAACCCCTAAACCACTAAAGCCCCAAACCCCTAAAACCCCAAGCCCCTAAAATCCCAAACCCCTAAACCCCAGACGCCTAAACGCCTGGTTTCAGGTTTATGAAGCCCTGCCTGGAAGCTTAGGGTCTAGAGCTCGAGCACCCCCATGTGAATAAGGAACGTTCAACCCAGACGAATCTCGAAAACCCGGCCCTTAGTGGGTTTAGGGTTTAGGGCTTAGGCTTACTTAGGGCTTTAATCCCTATATTGTCGCAAAGGTTAAACCTCTCCCTTAGGGTCCATGTACCCAAATAGTATATACTTTGGCCCTAAAGTAGTCCCTATATGGGTTCTTTTTTGGCCGAAGGAATTACTATTTGGGTATATACATGGACCCTAACGGTCTAATGGTTTCCTAGCATACTGGGCAAGTAAGTCAGAAGATACGGTTACCATCATCCGAAAAACTTCCCAGCCACAAGCCAACTGATGTCTGTGGCACTTGGACCCGCAGGTAAGCCCAACGCCATGGGTCCGAAACACGGAGACCTCATCTAAGGTGTAGGGTTAGTTTAGAGTTTAGGCTTTCAGGTTTCCGATGTGCTGCTCGTGGTGAAATGTGCTTGGAGGTTCATGGGTAGGTACAAGTAGGGTTATAAGTATGGTAACTATACTTATAGGCCATATTAGGGGACTTATAACCCTACTTATAACTACCCCTGAACCTCCAAGTGTTGGGTTCAGGGCTTAAACTCCGAAAGCCTATATCCTCGACTCGACGACCTACAAGGGCATCCACCTTCCACGTTGAGTAGGCCGTATTTCTCGGTTCATCAGCAGCCCTTAACCCCTGAACCCCTGAAGCTTAAAGCCACAAACTTCACTACACTGAACTCCCAAACTTACTTGACGAATGGTGTCTATGGTGTCTGGCAATCGGAGCCAGAATCCTTCGACCTACGACTGCACTCGGGAACTCCTAAACCCATGCCCGACCTTGGCCTACCAGAACCTACTTTTTCGCAGAGTCTACAAATTCCATACTAGGGTTATAATAAGAACCTACAAAAAATATAGGGTTTGGTAGGTTGAGGCAGACAGCGGGTAGCGGACCATAAACTCTGGATGTTGTTGTTTCCTGCCGGAGGCGGCCCGAATCTTTGGCAAGTGGAGCTTCGGATTGTTGTGAGGGCTCTATTACTAAGACTAAGACCTCCTCCTTGAGGGTCCGAGTTGTGACGTGGTTACAGTTAACGGTACAGGTACTGGAAGTCAGACAGGCACAGTTTTGGCTGGAGGTCCGATTTGGCTTTTTTAAATTTGAATGCAGACCCTAGCTTTCCAGTGTGATGATGATTCAATATCTCCAGGATGACTACGGTTATTGTAATCTTGTCTTGTGACTACTACTTCTTCTTCTTCTGCTACTACTACTACTACGACTACTGCTAGCTATTACCCCTGTCACTATTGTCAGAATCACCGCCATTATCATGAAAATTATGTGTTGTCATATTAAACTGCCATCAGTATCTTCATCAGTAATGTATCAGCGCCTCTTGCATCAGATCAACATCACCGGCAGGAAGTTTCTTTGGTACTTGAGGGTTAGGTTTTTCGGGTTCTAGGGGTTTGGGCTGTAGCTGTGAGGGTTTAGGAGAGTCACGAATGCACCGTTGAAAGAGCGATTTGGCTTTACTTTATGAGCTACTGTTACTGTTTAGAAGTTGCTTTTTAAACCCTAACCCCTCCCCCGACTGGTGCAGGAAACTGTCGCAGAGCTCGAAGTCGTTGAACTCTTTAGCTCTGCACGATTCAGGTGGGGGTTTCGGAAAATTGGTTCCTTTAACGATTACTTGAAGGGATCTATAAGGGTTCTATAAAGGGTTTAGGGTTTAGAGTCGAGGGTTTCCGAAAATTGAGGTACCTTATTTTGGGGTCCTTAAGATAAGGATCCTACTGTTTAGGGTACTACGGTTGATGATATAAATCCTGCATTACCTTAAGGACCCTAAACTATGGAAATAATGGAGTATTCCGTATTATGGGTAATGCAGGATTTATACCATCAACCGTATATTAGGGTCCCCTTATTTCCGGAATCTCCCATTCGAGGTGCTGTTTTTAGGGGTTTAGGGTACGGGGTATCAGGTTTCGGCTTCAGATGCAGGTCGGTTTAGGGTTTAGGGTTTAGGGTTTAGGGTGGCGAGATTGAGAACGGAGAGTCCTCGAACATGTGTCATACCTACCTAGAGGCTCCAAAAGTAGTTCCTCTTTGGGGGTTCATATATAGAATCCTATAAGGTAATCCCAAACAGGAACTACTATGGAGCCTAAGGGTGAACCCTAAACCCATAGTCTGTTTTGAAAATACTTCGTTTTCTTTCGGAGGTACGGTTTATGGTTGAGGCCTTGCAAGACTTCGAGGCTACGGTTTAGGGTTTAGGGTTCTAGGGTTGGGGGATTTCAGCTATGAGGACAGCTGCTAAAAAGGACCAGTCGAGGCCACAGTCATAGCGAAAACGCGGAGCTGTGTTCAGGTTCCGGATGTCAGGCGAACCCTAAAGCCTAACTCAAAGTCTAGGCCCCGCTGTGAGCTACGGTTTCACCGAATTTTCCAGTGCTACTGCATGTGAGGGGACGTTTGGAGGGTGTAGGGCCTAGGGTTTAGGGACTTGATGCCACCCACATACCATAGCTTTGTTTCTGTTTGCTGACCTCCATGCAACTAATTGGCTGTAAACTCAACTTTTCAACTTTTGGGGTTCTTATAAGGTAGTCGATTCTGAAAGTTTCAACTTTTATTTCCTTGGGTTTTGGGCCAGTGAGGCAAGACAACCCCACACCCACAGACTAGAAGCCTTCAGGTCGTCTTGCCTCAGGCTGCATGTACATGTTGTACTATACTGTTGATGGACAATATCCTGCATGACCCTAAGGACTCCACACTATGGGAACTGTGGTATATTCCTTATAATGGGTAATGCAGGCTTTTGTCCATCAGCAGTATCACTTGAGTCTTACAAAGTCCCTGTAGAGGAACCCTGTACGGCCGAAGTAAAAGCTAGATGGGAGCTTCCGCCAATCAGGGGTACCTTATTTTGGGCTCCTTATCATAAGGATCCCGCTATTTAGTGTAACTACTATATTAGGGTCCCCTATATTCGGAAACTCCCACATATGGTTAGATGAATCCTAAACCCTAAACCCTAAACCCTAAACCTCAAACCCCTAAAGGGGAGTCGTTGGTCAGGGACGATGAGTCCCAAAGGTGAAGGGAGGGGTCCACACCCACTGAGGCTCCATGTACTCATACCCTAAGGACTCATATAGGGTTCCTTTAAAGGGGTCTATAAGGCGTCCTTTAAAGGGATCTATAGGGATTAGGCATGCAAGGACTCATATGATAAGGCTTTTGGGCCCAAAGGCCATACTATACGAGGCTTTTGGGCTGTTTTGATCCCTAGGGATACAGTATATACTTGTTAGGCTTCAAAGTACCTATACAGGGACCCCTTTAAGGCTCAAGTTTCTACGATGAAAGGTACATGGAGCCTTTGGGTCCAGTGAGATGCCCAGGTTCGCATGCCGCGCATCTGCTAGAACTTGATGCCGCAGCAGATATTGCGTACCTTGGCTAAATCATAGGAGGCCAAAAGGGGTTTTAGCCTATGGGTTTTTTTTCGGGATTAGGGTTCCCATAACATGGTTCCCATTAAGGAATCCCTACCCCGGCCCCAAGAATCTTAAACCCCCCTTTCTGGCTTCCCATCAGGCTAAAGGCTTCCACTCCTAAGGCTAAACCATGCAAAAACTCCCTTCGGGAACCCCTAAAGCCTAAACCCTAAAGCCCTAAACCCAAAACCCTTACCCCTAAAACCCGAAACCTGAAACCTGAAATCCCGAAACCTGAAGCCTGAAATCCCGAGACCCAAAACCCTTAAACCCCTAAACCCCAAATCCAGGCTTGCTGGCGGCTCTTGACCCAGAGAGCCCAATACCCCTTAATTAAGGAATATGGCTAAACTCATAATATGAATCCCCTTATAATTTAAGGTATATTCCTTCATTGAAGGGTTATTGGTCTCTCTGGGAAACTGTTCATGTTTTCATAGGAGCCGTTGAAGGAACACCCTTGGAGGCTGCAGGACCGGGGGACGGGTGTGGGGGTGCGGGTCCAATGAACTGTATGTTTACGGTGTCACCGGGTTCAGGTTTGGGAATATGTATATATATATATATATATATATATATATACATACATACATACATACATACATACATACATACATATACATATATATATATATATATATATATGTGTTTATATGTATATGTACAGATATATACACAGAGCTACATCATATCTGACATAAGTACATGCATACATGGATACGTGCAAGCATACACACTTGCTTACGTATGTATGTAACTATGTAAGGCTTACATATTTACATTCATATTTACATACTTACATACATGCATGCATACGTACATACGTACACACACATACATATATATGTATATGTATAATACACATATGTATACATATATATATATACACATATATATACATATATATATATATATGTATATGCATATATACTCAAAAGTACCTCTATTAGAGACCCTGTAAGACCAAAGCACTTACCATGTAGATACATGGAATTTTGGGGTTGTCCGAGTCCTTCAGATAGGCAAGGATGTCCGCGGTTTCTGCTCCACCGTCCAGAACTGCCACAAGCAAAAACCCCGACATCAAGGCCTTCTGCCAAATGCTCAGGTACCTCCTAGCTTTATATTAGTTATATACTTTCAAGCCCTGAAAGGAGCCCCAAAAGGAAGCCTTAAAGGAACCCTTAAACCCAAAGGGCCCAAAGTACTTTTATAGTAGAATGTCGAGGTTCTATGTTAGGAATTACTATTATGATTTGGGGAAGTATCCCCCCCATAACAATGCCTAGGACCCTTTGGGAAAGGAACCCTTAGTTTCACCTCTTCTTCCGAATCGAGGCTGAGCTCAAAACTAGACCTTCTTTGGCAGGTTGCATTCAAGCAAGACAACTCCCTCAGTAGCTGGAATGAGTACACATTACACATCTATGCACTTTTGGGATAAGAGTATATCCTACCTATATCAGGGAACAGACAGCTTCACAGTTTCACACTAGTTTTGGGGTGTATGAACTCGGCAACTAAGGTCCTGTCCACGGGCTGCAAATTTTGTCGTCGTGGTTATGTAATACCCATAGGCTCCACAGTAACTCCGTTTGGGGGTCAATATTTAGAATCCTATACGGTACTCCCAAAAGGGAACTACTATGGAGCCTATGGGTCTCTTCAAGGTGCAGAGCCTGTGGATTCACATAGAGATGCGAAAATTCAAACATATCAGCACCTAGAGCCTAAACCTCTGAACCCTAAACCCTAGAACGCCCTAAAACGCTTTAAACCCCTCAACCGCGAGCCGTAAACCTTAAACCTTACGAGCTTCCTTGGGTTCCCGCACCCGAGAACAATCTCTTAGAGTGGAGAGGATCCTCCAAAACCCTAGAGGGTTTAGGGTTGAGCGCTGGGCTCAGTATTCATGCCTTCTCTTCATATGGGAGTTTCTGAAAATTGGGGACCCTGATGTAGTACCCTAAATAGTAGGATCCATATTATAAGGACCCCAAACTAAGGGACCCCTGATTTTCGGAAACTCCCATATTCGTACTCTTGGTTTTCAAGAATGCCAACTGGAACTCCACCGGCAATCAAGAATGTAAACGCTGACGTGTAGTTTAGATGCTGGTGGAGATAGATTCACATGGTTCTAAACTTGACCCTCCACCAGTTGCGAAACCGAAGACTGAGTCCACGGCTTGAGTGTCAGAAGTATGGGGTTGAGTTTAGGGTTTAGTGAATTTAGGGGTGTAGGGTTTAGGGCTGCCTCACCCCTGAACGGCATCTGATTTTCCCTAAGGGTCCATGTGCCCAAATAGTATATACATTGGCCTTAAAGTACTCCCTACATAGGTACATTGGGCCCAGAGTATATGCTATATGGGTACATGGACCCTTAGGGTTTCGCATCGAGGAAGCGGGAGCAGGTGGACGACGACACGGGCCACAGCATTGCCAACGTTGCAGCTCGGATCTCGTCATGGCTCGGGGAACCCAGACCTTCCAAAATCCCTTAATTAAGGAATATACCTTAAATCATATTAGGGATCCTACTATAATAACATATGGTATATTCCTTAATTAAGGGGTTTTGGAAGGTCTGAGTTTCCGAAAATAAGGGGTACCTTATTTAGGGGTCCTTAGAATAAGGATCCTACTATTTGGGGTACCATATTAGGGTTCCTTATTTTCGGAAACTCCCACATGCAGGATGCAAACTACATGGCTTATGTTTGTTTCGTTCTTTTCGGGGTTGGGGAGGCCACCTGCAATTCAAGAAGCATAGATGTAGAGGCACTATCCTTTTAAGCACCAGCTCTCAACCCAACAAGCGCTTGTAACCCACATCGATGGGCTGAGCTCTCAAACCTTAACGCCTCAACCTGACCTCGGGGTATAGAACGATGCTTCCAGAGTCAGCTCAGGCTCGATTCGGGCTTGGGTCATATGGTTTAGGGTGCAGGCGTTCAGGTTTTAGCGGGGTAGGGTTTGGGGTTTAGGTGGCAGGGTTTAGGGGGTTAGGGTTTGGTTTAGGGTTGGGTTACCTTTAGGCTTAAGGTACCACGAGGTTGGTATTCAAGGAAAAAAATTCCTGGTAGATAGTTTGCTTACGAGCCCAGGGTTTTCCCCGGGGCCGCATCTAGGGTCTTCGACCGTTCACCTTTTAATTTGAGCGCCAGTATAAATTATGAGGGTGGTTCAAGGGGGGAGGGTACAAGGGATCCCTCGGGATCCTTCAGGGAACCTCAGGGAGCAATAGAGAAAACAAGGGATTAGTTATTTATCTACCCCGAAACCCCTACCATAAGGATACAAAAAAATAAACCGTCGCATCAAGCCCTAATCTCTGACCTAACCCTGTTCCACCCGACACCTAGGCCTTCCTTTAACCTAGTAGCTGAGTAGGTAACCTTTAACCTTTTTCGGCGGTTTTTTAGAATCCTACCATAAATTGAAAAAGTTCATCCTTTTGGGCTGGGAAGCTTATAGTAACCCCGAAATCCTAAACCCTAACCCGAAGGGTCTATGTACCCAAATAGCATAGACTTCGGCACCAATGTACCTATATCATATTACTTTAAGGCCAGTGTATATACTATTTTTGTACATGGACCCTTAGGGTAAGTTATCCCACCAGTACCTTTGCAAGACACCTGGGAGATTCCGAAAATGGGGGACCCTATAATATAGTACCCTAAATAGTAGGATCCGTATTGTAAGGCCCCCAAAATAAGGTACCCCCTAGTTTTCGGAAACTCCCGCGGCGCACCCAATCCCAGGTGGAGTCATCTGCTCGAAACGAGTCTCCGGGCGCCGCCGTCTTGAGCAAGCGCAAAGAGGCATTGAGCCGGGTCTAGGACTTAGGGCAGGGTTTAGGGTTAAGGGTTTTAGGGCAGTAGCAGAAGCAGCAGCTGTCGTAGCACTGGTAGTAAGCATCGTCGTAGCAGTAGTGGTTGTTGTTGTTGGTGGTGGTGTCTTTGTTACTACTGTGACTACCCGGCATTGCTTTGATAAGAAACGACACCTTTCTGCCCAGACCCTGAACATTTCTTGATTCTCGCCGCGGGGTGTCTAAGCAAGAAACCTTGCAACCCCCAGAGTCCCATAAAATCGTTCAGGACCGAAAGACCTTGCAACCCCCCCAACTGACACCAGTACGGTCCGTCAAAAACGCCGCGTTTCCCGCCAAAATCACACGCCGTTGAACTTTGGGGAGGGGGTGGGAAGTTCAACGGCGCGTCGTTCTGGCTTCAACCCTCCAAAATGACGCGCCGTTCCCAGAGACTCCAATATCCCTTAATTAGGGAATATTCCTTAAATCATATTAGGGATCCTACTATAATTTAAGGTATATTCCTTAATTAAGGATCCTACTATAATTTAAGGTATATTCCCTAATTAAGGGGTTTTGGAGTCTCTGGGTTGAGCTTTGGGTAGCGGAGCCGGGGCCGGGCTGGGGCCGTCTGAAAGAACGGCCGGCAGGCCACGGACGAGCTCTACCACGGTTTAAGGTTTAGGGTTTAGGGTTTAGGGTTTAGGGTTTAGGGGTTTCAAGGGGCTCTAGTGGTCTTTGGGGTTGTTTAGGGGGCGTTAGGCAGTTTGTGGAGTTTGGGGTTAGCCGGTTTGAAGGGCTTACAGGGTTCTGTATGGGTTTAGGGTTTGGGGTTAGGGGCCTCGGGTTTATGGGTTAGGGCGTAGGACCCTGGATATGAAATCCCAACAATCCAGGATCTCATGTCTTATTTAGAAATTTAGAAGGGGCCCCACCCTGTAATCGTGGTATAATAGGAATATAATGGAACCCCAATATAATCCTTATAGTCACTATTGCAGGGTGGGGGCAGCTTCTAATGTCTTATTCCAAAAGGTTTCTTTTTGAATGCGCTGGCCGTACTACGGCTTCTACGGCAACCATGCAGAGCCACTACCACTGCCTCGACACCCTTTTTGAACCCTCGTTGAGGCTTTCACGATTTGGGTTTTGGATTCAGATAATTACGCTTTCAGGTTTAATCGGCCTAGGGTTTAGGATTCAGGTTATCCCGGGTTGTGGTTTGGGGAGCCTTAATTGCGGAATCAGTTGAAGTCTTTGCGATGGCAAATAAGGTCATGACTCAAGAAATACTGAAGGAATATGTTCAGCTTCAGTTGTGCGAATGATTCATGGTCCTGGTACTTGCAGTGCAAAAAGTATTCATTGATACTACGAATAGTACTAATCATGCGGGTAATCCTCATGATACCCAATACTATCATTATTACTAATCGCTACTACTACTGCTACTACTACTACTACTACTACTACTACTACTACTGCTACTGCTACTGCTACTGCTACTGCTACTGCTACTGCTACTGCTACTGCTACTCCTACTCCTACTGCTACTGCTACTGCTACTCCTACTCCTACTCCTACTGCTACTGCTACCACTACTACTCCTACTACTCCTACTACTCCTACTACTCCTACTACTCCTACGACTCCTACTACTCCTACTACTGCTACTACTGCTACTACTGCTACTACTGCTACTGCTCCTGCTACTACGGCTGCTACTACTGCTACTACAGCTGCTGCTGCTACTGCTGCTACTGCTGCTACTGCTGCTACTGCTACTGCTACTGCAGCTACTGCAACTGCTAACTCCTGCTGCTGCTGCTGCTGCTGCTGCTGATGCTGCCACTACCTCGACTACGGCTTCGGCTTCGGCTACGACTACGACGACGACTACTATTGCTACTGCTACTTTCTACGACGACTTCGACAACTACTATTACGACCATTGGATAAGCAGAAGAAGCCTTTGTCACATATACACGAGTAACAGTTTCGAGCAGACCTACATACAGGTGGGATTTGGGATCCACCCCCTTATGTAACACTACATACCCCCGTCCTGAACGCAGCGACCGCTGATGTTCACGAAGCTGCGACATGAACTGAGCCTCTGGTGCCCTGGGAAGCAAGCCTCATAGGTTGGGGCCTTAGGATTTGGGGAATAGGGTGTTGTACTGTGTTTGCAGGCTTCGTAACTACCTATACTCTCCATTGTGGTTCGTTTTTTGTTTAACCAAGATCTCTATTATAGGATCCTAACCATAAAACTGGTTAACCAAAAAAGGAACTACAATGGAGACTATAGGTAGGGCCGGTAATAGGTTTCGTGGTGACCATTTTTCAGACTAAGCCGACTCGCTGAGTCAAAAAAGGCCTCCACGCTGGCTTTCCTGTAGGATGTACCCCTCACCTGTTCATCCGCACCCTAAACTTTTGCCCTATGGCTCAACGAAATGGCCCAAATGCCTTATGTAATATGGTCTTCAGGCACAAAGGCCTTCAAATATGAGTCCTATGAGCCCTTAGAGCCTTAGAGTTACGAATCCTTTTTCCGAAAATCCCAGAACAGCACAACAGGCCTCCTTGGCACCGGTCGTTGTCATGTCCTCTCTGGCCCCGCGGCGTGCATCGAGCCTCTATAGTACAGGGGTCTGCACCCAAAGGGTCCTAGGTACTGTTATGGTGGATACTTCCCCAAATCATAATAGTGATTCCTAATGTAGAAACCCTACTTTCTACTATATCGGTGCATAGGAGCCTTTGGGATAGTACAGGGGTCTGCATATAAAGAGCACAACTACAACAGGAGTATAACGCAAAGGGCGCAGGTTTTCTTCCCGGCGTAAGCCCAATGGACTGTAAGCATGTTACAGCTTGGGCTTCCGTCAACTCAACATTGAGTTTCTCCCTAAGGGTCCTATGTACTGTTATGGGGAATACTTCCCCAAACCATAATAGTAATTCTTAATATAGAAACCGTACATTCTATTGTATCAGTACTTTGGACCCTTTGGGTTTGCTAATCCGCACTAATCCGCAAGTTCCAAAGTCTCTGCCCTGAGCCACTAGTTACCCAGCTTACCGTAATCCCCAAATTCCCTACTCCCCGAGCTTACCTAGTCCTAAACCTTTAGCTCTCAACCCTTCGCCCTGAGAGTAAAGCCCTCTTCTAATTACAAGAACCTGCTGTCTTGCGATCCTCTGAGATCTTCAAGTTATGAGAAATTGGAAAAGCCAGACTAGGGATAGGGGGTTTAGGGTTCAGGGTTTAGACTGAACCCTACGCACCGAGCCCCAAATCCATGCCCTGGAGATTGCTTATAGACCCCATACAAACTTTTCCCTAAACCCTAAACCCCTAATCAACAATCCGATGATGCAGGCCAATGCACACCCTGTAAGCCATCCCTTGCCTGAGATGCTAAACCCCCAAACCCCAAAACCTAGAGTAAAAACCCCTTTTGGGTTACCTTATAGGATCCCAAATGACAAAACCGCTCAAACCAAAAAGGAGGTACCAAGTTTTACGGATACTACCTAGAGGCTGATACCCTACCCCTTTTTTAGGGCCCCCACTTTTTAAGAGAACATATCCAAACCATAAAACTCGGCATCCTAAAAAAGGGGTAGGGTATGAGCCTCTAGGTAGAGGGAAACCCTACACCTTTACAGGACCTTAAGCCCAAACAAGGTTCCCGTCGCGCCGTCGCCTCCGGTGCCATCGCTGGCACCCGCTCCATCCCAGGATCCCCGGGTTTGGGTCTGTCTATGGTAGAAGCCCAAAAGTTGGAAACCCGATAGCCTCAATCCTTAAGAGTAATGTATAGGGAATCCCAGCACTATTTGTCCTTAATCCGGTTTCCAACTTTTTGGGGTTTACTATAGTTACTATAGGGGCTGCATAAAATCCAAAACCATCAAGAAGTCTGGCCCTGTCTCAAGGCTTGCTACCATCACTATGATACCAGAATGCCCACACCCTCAAGCCTTAAGCTCCAAACCCTTACCCTAAAGTCTGAAAACCTGGTGCCCCAAAGCCGTTCAGGGTTTTGGGAAGTTTAGGGTTTAAGTACCGGTGTAGTATAAACATTGAGGCGGCTCCGAGTTGCGAAATTGTAGCAGAGCTCTTCAAGAGGGGCTGTTAGTGTTGCAGCCCGGGTTCAGGGTTGAAATTTTCCAGGTATAGTTTGGGGTTCAGAGTTCAGGGCTTGGGTTTAGGTTGTATGTTTGGGCCTGTTTCGAAGAGCTGTGTAGACCGTTTGGAGCTCATGGGTTTAGGGCTTGCGGGGCCTGGAAGTTTCAGGGCTTTGGGTGTAAGGACTAGAACTTACAATGGACTGAGTTCAGGCTTCTCTGGGTTCTTGCTAAGAAATGTGTATTTTAGCAACCATAATAAGGACACCAATTTTTTTAACTATAGCTACGGACTATGGTAACTTGAACTTAACTGTTTAACGAGAACCCAGTTTTATGCTGGAGGGCTGAAGGGAGAGTCGGAGAACTTGTTGGCTTGGCGAAGCTGTAGGTATGTGGGAGTTTCCGCAAATCAGGGTTACCTTATAATAAGGATCCTACTGTTGAGGGTACTGTATTAGGGGTCCCCTATTGTCGGACACTCCCATGTGGAAGCTTCAACCCCAAACCTTGGACACAAGAACTATCGAAACCCCAACCTTCTAAACCATCCTAAATCCCACCGGACCCGGATCGAACAAACCCTGAACCCTAATCCTAAATCCTAAACGAACACCGTCCCTTCTGTCGTATATCCTCTCTCTAACTGGTGTGTCTCCGCAGAAATGCACACCCTCACTGTCCAAGCCCCGTTGGCATCAGCCATGACATTCATCTCTCCGCCCAGCCAATGCCAAGCAATCCTAATCTGGAATGAACCCTAACCGGACCCCTAACCAAGCTCTGCTACACAAGAGTCTTTTGCAGATTTTTGTGTGCGTGGCCAATAGTTTCATGTAATGTTGGAGCCTGTGGGTAGCGATAGACATGGCACAGGCACTTTAGATAGCAGTGAAGTCCGGTTTTCAATCCTTGGCAATCTTAACAACCCCAAAATCAGCGGTGAACCTCACCCTAAGACCTCCATACGCTAACTCGAAAGCCGCAAACTGTGCTACTCGAACCCTTAACCCTAAGCCCTACTGACCTAGTGTCCCCAACCCCCCGAACAACCCCTACACCCTTAAACCTACTAGATAATGAATGTGATTCAGACCTCCCGAAATCCTAAACCCTAAACCCTAAACCCCTAAACGACCATACAGTATTGAGCTCGTTCTTTACCTCGCCTTTTCTGGGCCAGATGGCATAGCAGAAGGTCCCAGCTTTTCTGTGCAAGCCTCTGTAGAGGCAGGCAAAGACCCCTTTCGTTCTGCGCGCGGGTAGGGAGCCAGTGCACTTAAAAAAAAAAACTAATCCCCAGACCCTAAAACCTAAACCTTAAACTCTATATAGTATCCCCAAAGCGACGAAGCATAAAGCCTCGCGCAAAAAAGCGTTGGAAGGACCTTCCTGGAGTCTTAGAGGCTCCGGATGAGCAGAACGGTGCCATGGCGTGCAAATAAGCCTGCTTTCGTGTTGTTTATATATATATATATACACACATATGTGTTATGTGTGTGTATATACATATATATATATATATATATGTATATATATATATATATATTTTTATACGTATAGGCTATATATATATATGTATATATATATATATATATATATATATATATACATATTGTATTATATATATATATAGATATATATTGTATAAATGAGGTGTTTAGGTGGTTCAGGGTCTAGTTTGCTTATGCTTGCGATGGCTCGTGTTTCTCAGTAGTTAGGAATGCAGAAGTAGATGTTGCCTTCTGTAGTTTGCAATTACAGGAGTTTGCGACACAGGCTTTTATACTCTCATCTTACAGAGGTTCCTGTCTAGACGCTTGGTTTTCAACGCCCTTGTATTTCAGGCCTGTACATCAAGATGCCCCTAAACCCCAACCCAGAAGGGTCTGGGACCGTGGGAAGTCAGAGTTGCAGACTCCACAAACCGGGGACTTTTGCGGTGATATCCGGGCACGACCCGCCAAAGCAAGAAAGAAAGCAAACAAACGTGAGTTGGGTTCATTTTGAGCGGAACTCGGGGGGTGAGCAGAAAGCAAGAAGGCCACCAGGGTTTGTTTGGGGGGGAGTTGACGCAGGAGGACTACATGCTGGCGTAAGTGTACGAGAAGTACGCGCACCCCAATTCCTAAACACGAGTATCCACGCCCTCAGCCCCGATCCTAGACCCTAAACCACAGGCCCTAAGAAATGAACCCTAACTCCGCGCGAGTGGTTGTGTTTCGGTCTTTCTGAGCAGTACGTCCCACTAAACGAAGAGCGTAACAATTTATGGACTGCATGAGTCACCACAGATTTGCGTGAAAGACATGAGCTCAATGCGCAACCAGGGCATGCATGAAGATACCGGCTTCAGGAAGGGATTGAACACATCTCGGAATTTCACATTGGGTTTCGTTCGGTGATCACCGTATCGCAGCCGCGAACTGCGGATAGAACAGGAAAGAAGAGGAAGATGTAGTTTCACGGGTTTCGCCGAATCCCCAAGCCCTGTCTACAATCCACGCCCGGAACCCTTAGGCAAGCAGAGCAGCATTCAGGCGCACAGGTTCTCGATGTCCTAAACCCCCTAAGTTCTACAAACTAATGTTGAACACCATAGAACCAGTGAAGCCCTAGCAAATCCCATACCGAAGGCCCTTAAGTTTAAACTCCTTATCTTCAACTCCTCACCCGCATCAGGAGTTCTAACCCCAGAACCCGAAATAGAAAGAGCAATACCCTTTCCTTACAGAATACTTAATATCAAGGTGACACTGGGGATCCTAGGTATAGTAATCTCTATAGTATAGCAACCCTTGTAGTAGCGCGTATAGTAACCCTTACTTAGCAAACCCTGTAGCAATCAATATAGTAGCCTTCATAGGAGCCCTTATAGCAATCATTACATAGCAGTCCCTATAGCAACCATTATAGTAACCCTGAAGCAGTTTAACACTAAACAACATGCAAGGAACTTGCCATATAGGAGGCCGTATCGTGGCAGCTGAGCAAGTAATCTTCAACCTTTTGGGGTTTGTACAATCCTGTCATACTAGAAAAGGCTACTTGAAGGATCATGGGACTTAGCAACTAGGGTTATTATAGGGCAACTATACGTATAACTACTTCTAACCCCAATTAAGGTACTCATAACCATAATTACTATGTGTCCGGATCCTCCAAGTAAGGTTAACCTTGTTTGGGCTGGGGTACTCAGCCTTTAAGCTTATTATAGTAGCCCCCATGGCTTGTTGAGGCTATTTTGTAGGGCCCTTATGAATTCCATTTTAGGGTTTGTAATAAGCACCCACCAAAATTGTAGGTTAAGTTAGGGTGCAGTATGTAGTTATAGTAGCCCCCATGGCTTTGAACCCTAAACCCTAAACTAAGCCCTAAACCTTGAACCCTAAACCCTAAACTAAGCCCTAAACCCTAAATCCTACTTTTGAGGCTCATTGAGTCCAGAGTTTCGGCCTGATGACGATGCGCCAAATCGGTGGCTCAGCTTGCGGCTGTCGTTTTCTTCTTTTGTTTGTTTGAGATTTACGGAGGTTTGGTTTCGGGTTTAGGTTTCGGGTTTAGGGGTTTAGGGTTTCGGGGTTTAGGGTTTAGGATTTGGGGGAGAGGTTATATAAGGGCTTCTTAAGGATTCTGCGCAGTTTGGGAATTAGGGAGGGGTTCGGGTAGATCATAGTATGGTCATGCAGTGACGGCAAGTTTCTCAGCTAAATGCAATTCCTGTTTCTTGTCTTAACCAGTTCTATGTTCCAGGATCCTAGCCGTAAAAACTGGTCGCTGCAAAATGAGAGTCTACAATAGCGACTGGTAGGCATTCAGCGGATTGGTGTGGAGGTGCTGACCCAAAGGGTCCTTGTACCGATATAGTAGAATATAAGGTTTCCATGTTAGGAATTATTATGATTATGGCTTAGGGAAGTATGCCCCATAATAGTACATAGGACCCTTTAGGTGAGGCATTTCGGTGTCTGAAGCGTCTAGCCTGAACTAGACGGGATTGGGGACCAAGCCTTGCATTCTATAGGTTAGAAGGGGCCCCCACCCTGTAATAGTGGTATAATAGGTACATAATAGGGCCCTAATAGAATCCTTATAGTCACTATTATAGGGTGGAGGCCCCTTCTAGTCTATAGGGCTGAAGATAGTGGCCCCAATATTCAAACGTAACAGCACCCTGTTGGAACCCCTAGAAAGGTATTACATACCATCTATATAGGTGTATATAATAATAATAATAGTAATAATAGTAATAATAATAATATACACATACGCATATGTACCCACATTTTTATACTGTATGCCCAAAAAGTGTTGGACCTATTGAATTGAGGACCCGATACTCGCGTTTGCAGTGTGCAGATACCATCGGATTTCAGTTTCTTGAGATTCGACCACCGTATCTTTCTAGGAAGCCAGCGTTTTTACCTCTCTTACCGGCAGAGCTCGGTAATAAAGCCCTGCACACTCCGAGCCCGGAATACTTCAGGGCCCTAGCCTGAGACACTTTATTGCGACGTGTGGATAAGTTGATCAGCAGCATTGAGTTTGGGGATTAGGGCTGGGTTGCGGGATTTTCGTTTTAGGGGTTTAGGGGAAGGTGTAGGGGTTTAGGGGTCCAAGGTTTTAAACCTTGGACCCCTATACTCTAAACTTTAGAGTATAGGGCATGTATAGATATATATATATATATCTATATATGTATATATAGGGTTTAGGGAACTTGGGCATTTTGCCAAGGAATGTGTCCTTTGTCAACATCGCGTCGTTTCTTGGCCGTTTCGCGTGCGCTTGGGTTTAGGGGTTTAGGGGGTAGAGAGTTCAGGATTTAGGGTTTAGGGGTTAGGGTTTAGAGAGTTTAAGGTCGGGGCTTTCGGGCTGAAGTTTGGGGTTGGCGGGGGTTGGGGTTGAGGTAGGTACTGCAGGATTCTATAATATGTTGGGATTGAACTTGTGGAGCAGGTTCAGGGCTTTACGCTTTGCGTTTGCATGCAGAGGTTTTTGGTGGCTCGGGGTTTCAATGCCATGATTTCAGAGATCGAGTCGAGGTTTGACCCTAAACCCCAAACCCCTATCAACCCCAAACCGCAAACCCTAAACCCGTAAACCCCAACCCCTTAACTAAACCCTATTTCAGCCAGCAGGTCTTGGTCTGGGTTCTTGTGCCTTACAGCTCTTTGCTCGGAGGCTTCAAATGGGTTTAAGGGATTTCATTTAAGTTAGCGTTAAATAAAAACTACATGAAAAACATGGTTTCCTCCCCAAACCGAGTTTAAATTGCGTTTATGATGGCGGTTAGCTTTAAGGGTTTAGGGTTTGGGGTTTAGGGTGTAGGTTGCCATCAACCCTACACCCTAAACCGTTTTGGGTTTGGGGTGTAGGGTGCCATCAGCTTCTTGTTAGCCCTTCCGCGGTCATAGCCCAGCAGCACCAACCGAGAGACGCCAAAGCCATGAATCTTGAAGCCGCAACCTAAATCCCCGACCGCGTAGCATCTTCTGAACATATATATATATATATATATATTCTGAACATATATATATATATATATATATATATATATATATATACATACGGATATATTGGGATATATACAAATGTAAAATGTTAAATGCGTGTGCGTATATATATATATGTATATACATAGATGTACATCTTATACCTGTAGATATGCAAGGTCCAAGACCGGCCTAATGTCTTCTTCGCAGACCCCATGTATCAGAGCCCTTGAGCGTGCCAAAGCTAAGGCCTACATTTCGACTTGGTAGGCTTTGGGCTTTCAGGCATCATGGGCCCACATAGCAGAGCACACCATATCAAGCGAAACGCAAGTATCCAATAGACACAAGCGAAGTGTTCACGTGCCCATGCAGGATGTACTTCTGCCTTAACGTAGTCCCTATATAGGTGCATTAGGCCCGAAGTTTATACTGTTTGGGCACCTGGACCCTTGTTGACATACAGTAAGCAAGCAAGAACAACCTGCCGATTGAAGGATGCCTAGGTACATTAGGCCCAAAGCTGTTTGGGCACATTGACCCTTAGGGACATACAGCATAGCCTAATGATCCCTCATTCTCCCTAGTACTCCCTAAGGTTCCCTGACAGTCCCCTAAGGATTCCTTATACCTTCCCCCCTTGAACCACCCTCCCTTAAGGATCCTACAAAGCAAGCAAGCAAGAAAAGCCAAGGATGGCGCAGACCACTATCCTAGACAACTGGAACAGCAGCCGACCCAAGCAATGCTCCGACTCCGACGTTGGCGAGGTGGGTTTTGGGGTTAGCACCAAAGACCTACTTATTCCTTAGCAGCTGAGTGGAGACACTTTACAGTTTTGGGAGATCATATTACCCACTATAAAACTGAAAGTGTAGACTTTTGGGGCTTATGAACTCAGCAACTAAGAATTCAGTCCTCTGGATCCTTCAAGACTTGTGGAGTGCCTTACATTACTCCGAGACATCAAGCAACATGGGAGTTTCCGTTCCTTCAAGGGTTACTTAAAGGGATCTATAAGGGTTCTATAAAGGGTTTAGAGTTTAGAGTTTCCGACAGTCACGGGTACCTTATTTTGGGGTCCTTACAATAAGGATCCCGCTATTTAGGATACTATTATTAGGGTCCCCTACTTTCGGAAACTCCGACCATGCCCACTGACTGCTGGGCTTCATGCTCCCACGCTCTCACGTTGATGTCGGCTCTGGGTTTCGGGCTTAGGGTTTCGGGTTTCGGGGTTCAGGTTTTTAGGGCTTTGGGAGTTTAGGATTTATAACCCACGTCGTGGACCAGGCAACCGTCGGAACAAGTTAGAGGCGTACAGTGCCGGTGTTCTCAATCCACAAGCATGCGTAAGTCCGACATGCTGGGGATGTGCATTCCTAGCAAGGTGAAGCCAAGACATTGTTTGTTTTGATGGGCCGGGGAATGCAGCAACTAGGACAAGGACAGGTAACATCGTTATGATCTTGTCGTACAATCGTAACAGCATGGTTAGTATCCTTGGTCGTGTCAGTGATTTCGTTCTGAGAAAACAAACTTATTTTACCCGTATTGAGACAGGAGAGATTAGCTGCAAGTCGTGAAATCCATGTAGTCTATGATTGAGATCCAAAGGCCTACGTAACTTCAAAAACTCCTCATGCACAAGCGCAGGCCCCAGGATCGACCCTTCTAATATGATTTGGGTCCATATTTTCGTGCAGCTCAGTAGGAAACCATGCATGTGCACCAGGAGGATAAGCGATTCAATGGCGACTGCTGGGACAGCTGGGTGGCTGTGCTTGATGTTGCGGAAGTAGCTCAGCCCTAAATCCGAAACCCCTAATCCCCAAACCCCCAAAAAAACTCTGAAAGCATACCCTCTAAACGGGGAGTAGGGCTCTGAACCCCTGACCCGCAGAGCCCTAAAAGACCCTGAACCCTGAACGTACGTGGTTGCCCCGAAAGAATCCGAGCGCCGAGGTCAAGAGGCTGGGTTACCGGGTTTAAGGGTTTAGGGTTTAGGGCTCAAAGGGTTTAGGGTTTAGGGCTTTTAGGCTTTAGGGCTTAAAGGGTAAAGCGTTTAGGGCTTAAAGGGTTCATTTTTTGTTGTTTAGGGTTTTAGGGTTTAGGGTTTTAGGTGCAAGCAAGATGAAGTTCCGGATGTTCCAAATACGCAAGAAAGTAGCGCGACCGTTCGGACGCTACAGAAGAGATGCTGTCAATGGGAACGGATTAAGGGTTGTGTCTGCTAGCTTGCCGTAAGATAGACCCCAAGTTTCATAAACAGGGTCCTGCTGTACACACGTATCCAGGACCGTCAATATACACACCCCTGAATAAGGGACCAAACGTCCAAGATTTCAAGTTTCAGCTGCAAAGTTTCAGTCGTGAGTCTCAGGATTCAGGGTCTAGGAATCACGGCCGGGAGTGTTACCAGTTATCTGCCGGATGCTGAACTGTAGGACATCTGCACATACCGTCGCCACACTCGAGCTGCGGTTACTTTGCATGCTATACCAAACCTGTGCTGATATCAATATGTTTATAACTCGTATCAAGTTTGAAAATGCCAGTATATCTAGCCCCATCCATCCTAAACCAGAGCTGGAGCCGAAGCTTCCGATCCTCAAGCGGGCTTGGGGCATATACGGCACAAAGTCATAAAGTTGAGCAAGTTCCACATAGATCCCTTGAATTGGTCGCACCTGCTGGTACTGAAACCACCAAAGTTCTGAAGCGGTTTAGGGTTTAGGGTTTAGGGTTAGAATTCCCCAAAGCCTGAACCTTAAAACCGTGCACCCTAAACAGTCTCCCTGGACTTGTAAATCCTGAAACTGGGCTCTTGCGGTGGAAGTTGCCTTCCGTCACCATACCATGGACCGCATCGGTCTCTCGAACATCCCTGCACTGATAATTTTGATCTCAGTCCTCATTCCTAAAGTCTACAGTAGAAGCCAAAAAGTTGGAAACCCAACAGCCTCAATCCTTAAGAGTAATGTATAGGGAATCCGAGCACTATTTAGCTTAATCCGGTTTCCAGCTGTATGGGGTTTACTGTAATTAAGCCCTAAGCCAGCCAAGCTGCTAGCAGATCAAGGATGTCGGCTCGAGAGTGCTGTTGAAGTTCCCAATTTTCTTGCCACCCAGCATGCAGTGATCACGGGTCTAGGGCTTAGGGTCTATAGGGTTCAGCAGTGATTTCGGGGTGGGCTTGGCGTTTGGGGCTACTTATTGCTTCTAGGGATGGTGTGTGTGTGTGTGTGTGTGTGTATTACCCTAAACCCTAAACCGATGGCCTTTCCTTTAAAGGGCCATTGCACTTAACACATCATGGGTAGTTGTCAAAATTAGGGTCGCTTTTGGGGTCCTGATTATCATACGGCACCTATTTTTTAGGGCATCCAAAAAGGGACCATAGATTTGACAACTACCCACATAAACAAACCGTTTGTGTGCGACTTGGGGTTCAGGAGTTTTCGCCTACACAGTCTTCGGAGTCTGGTTTCTTTCCTGTTGGACTTTACCCCACTTGGAGGTTCAGGGGTAGTTATAAGTGGGGTTACAGGGGTTCCTTTAAGAGTTCCTTTCAGGGTTCTATAGGGCTTATAGGGATCAGGGTTTAGGGTACGTAGTTATAAGTAGGGTTATAAGTCCCCTAATATGGGCTATAAGTATAGTTACCCTACTTATAACTACCCATGAACCTCCAAGTAAAGTCCAAGTACCTGATTATCATATACTCTCCAAAATAGTAACCTACATAACCACTATCCTAAACCCAAATACCCAATTGCGGGATCCTTTGGACCCTTGGGGTTAGTGATAGTATCAGGGGCGGGCTAAACTCTAGTGTCATGAGATGCCGTCGTAGACCTTGTCATTCTCGTGTCTATTTTTTGCAGTAAACGTATCGAAAGACAATGTAATCCTCTACGTACAACCCCTCCCATAAATAACTATGATACGTGTTTTATCCAGACAACTATCAGGTTTCCTTGAACCCTAGACCCTAGACTCTTTCGCTTGGGTCCACATCAAGCATTACACACGCCCGGGCTTCTGGGGACAACCGCAGAGATCATCACCCCAGTTCAGCCCAGTTCAGTGGTCCTAAACAGATGCATGAGAACTGAACAACTTGGAGGTTCAGGGGTAGTTATAAGTACGGTTATAAGTCCCCTAATATGGGTTAGAAGTATAGTTACCCTATGTTACCCTACTTATAACCCTACTTATAACTACCCATGAACCTTCAAGTGCAAACTGAACAAATTTCAGAAAGTCGGTCGGGGGCACCGTAATTCAGTCTGTGGCCAAGCCGTAAACCCTGCACCTTAACGCCCTGAAGCCCTGAACCTTAAAGCCTCAACCGCAAGGTATGCGGTGCTGGTTGTGTTCACCCTTGCGGAAGTTGGCATGGTCCTCTATTTGAAGTACGAGGCTGGTTGAGCTATGCGGCAGCAAAGCGAGTTGGGCTAGAAGCCATATACCTGCCGTTGAATCTACGTCTAAGTGTTGTTGAAGTACTTCTACCCCCTGATCCTTTCAGCAGTGATTCCCACCCAAACGGTGCACCCGATACCCGAAGCCTGTCCTGCAATCTAAAGCCTGCTGCGGACCTCGCTTTGCTCCGAGCAGGGCGGATCCTTCAAGTAGCGTCCTGTCAAGGCGCTATTCAAATCTTATTGCCCATGCCTCAGGAACTGCCCCCATACAGCAAGAGTCTATAATAGGGCTACTATTAAGGTCCTAATATATCTATATTGTTAATATTTTTTCAACTATTACTGAGTGGGGCCGTGCCCAACCCATGCCATCTCAGAAGCAATGGGGGTGACGCTGTGACACCTTGCAGTCAAAGGGTTTGGGGATTCGCAGTTCAAGGTTTGTGAGAGTGTAGGGTTTCGGACTCGCGGGCTTGGGGTTTAGGGTTCGTAGGATTTAGGGCTATGCCAGGGGGGTTCCTGGGAGGCCACGAGTAGGTAAACTGAGCATTGGCTGCCTCCCACCATCCCTCCTACCCACACTATTATTTGCCGAGTTCCAGCAGGGACCAACAAACACCACTTATCCTCAAAACCCGAAAAAAACCCCAAACTCCAAGATTTTCATCTCCCTGCATCCTCGAAACCCTATATTAATCCCAAACTCCAAGATTTCAACTCCCTGCACCCTAAACCCGAAGAGTGAAGGGGCTTCTATACTGATTAACCCGACTCCTAAACTGCAAATAATACGTACGCCAAGAGTTGACATGTACCTAGACAGTACAGTATAGTCTGTATACTTGGCACAAACTGGCCATGCCAGAGCGTTTTTAACATACAACACATTTATTCTGTACAGTCGGGGTGGTCGGTCACGGCTTTATCGGTACAATGACCTCCTTGAAGGGGTTTAGGGTTTCGGGTTTAGGACTTCGGTGAATTGAGCCGGAACGCCAACTTAGCATCCCATTCCCCCGCCTTTAGCTCAGTGTCGGGTTTTGATTTCGCAGATTCTCCTGAAGCAAGTGCTCCGGTGGTCTTAATCCTCGTTGCAACTCTGAGCCCCCCGAGAGCTGAACGAAAGCGTAATATAGGGGCTGATATTAAGTTCCAGTACTATTGTAGGGGATCCTTATTATATTTAGGGTATAATGGGCCCCAAAACCTTTGAGGATCCCTTTAAAGGGAACCCTATTCGGATTATTAAGGCCCCTATATGAAAGCCCAACGTTGCAGGGCCATGCTCGCACCACCAGCAGGGCGAACACTCTGGCCTGCGCAGCTGCTCGATGATGGAGAAAGGTTCATGTCGTATGGTTTGGGGGGGCGTAATAAAAAAGAAGTAGTAGTAGTGGTAGTTGTAGCAGCAGCAGCATCAGAGGGAGAACGTTCAGTCGTGTTAGCTTGCCCGGAAGCCCCTTCCAGGGGCTTGCGTCATTGTATAGTGGTTCGGAATACCCATATCCCCTTCATTCTATTCCCCGGTTTCGAGGCACCCTCCCAAAAGCCTATGCTGTTTGTTGAGTAAGGCCCCAACATCGTGTGCACTAGGCTTGCTCTTCATGTGGCCACTTGATGCCCTGTCAGGAGCGGAAAGAGTTTGGATGTATGGTCTGGGTTCGGTTGGTGCCTCCTACGTTCGGTAAGGTTTGTAGACCCCAAAGCATGAAGCTCAAAGCCTTCAACCCTAAACAGCCGAACGTTGCAACGTCCGCGACGGAGCCGGATCCGAATCCTCAACCCTAAACCCAAACCTGTGTCACTATGCATTTAAATCACAACTGGCTATGGCTCTTTCGAAACTCAAATTCAGGAAATCCCACGGCTCCTAGGTGATTTATCTTCTTGCGGCATCTTCGCTCCTTGGCCTACTTATTCCCTGACCCTTTCCTTAACCCTTGGAACCTACCTTTTTAAAGTTCCTGATTTCCTGACATAGGTCGTTAAAGAGGTTCCCCAAGGGGTCCAGGTACCTAATAATCATATACTCTCCAAAATCCTAACTACATAACTACTATCCTAAAACCGAGTACCTAATTATTGGGTCCTTTGGACCCTTGGGGTTCTTTTAGGGGCCAGGTTTGGGGCTTCACGTCAAGAGGCCCAGGGGCCCTATCGGACTCCCAGCTGGTGGCGGCAAGGCTAAGATGGGAACCCTAAACAGTTACCAACACTATTCCTTAGGGTTCCTTGTTGACGGGCTTTAGGGTTTAGGGTCCCGCTGTTAGTACAAACTAGGGATATACAGTATTATATTATGTACCCCAACCTGAGCCCAACCTGTGATCTAACATACGACATCCTTCTTGCACCCCGCGTCCCAGGGCTTGAGGCAACCCCGGCATTCCAGCATGCACGCGGTGCAGCGGCGCTTGCGCACAATACACTCTGGGGGGATTGGGGCATCCTACACAAACCCCAGATCTTAGATCTCAAAAAACACTTGAAACTAACTCCCCAATAGTCTTGTACCAACCTCAAGCCCTGGTTTAGGGTTTAGGGTTTAGCGTCTCCTGAACCCTAACCCTCAATCTTTAAGCCTTCAAACCTCGCAGACCCTGGGGACCTAAGCCCTAAACGTTATGCCTGCATGCAGGCGGTACATGATTTTGATCGCAGAAAAATCGATTGTTGAGTGTATACACACATGCTGTAGCTATACATGCATGCATGCTCCTTGCTTCTAAGTTCGGCAGCTCCTGAGTGATTGCATGCAGGTTGTCCTGCAGGAAATGCACAGAGCAATCGTTATGTCGTTCACCGGCAGGGCTTTGATAGCTCGCCACAGGAGGACGACTGTAGCAATTCCTCGCCTTCCTCTCGCCATGGCAGCCACCTTCATGAAGCAGCTCCATGACATGCTGGAGAAGCAGAAGCCAATCATGGGGGACCACTTCGACGGCATGCTCACGGCACAGAAGGACTGTGCCGTAAGAGCGATCTGCCAGAAGAAGTTGACGATGGAAGTCTGTTCCTTGATACAGCAAGGTCCGTGGACGGCTGAGCACAAGACGGAGCTTGGGAAAGCTGTGAACAGCTCAGTGGTGACGGCTGCAACCGGCAGCACAAAGAAACACAACCAGACACAGGAGCTGGACAACTTCTTCTGCTTTCTGTCAGCAGAAGACAAGCAAGTCCTGAGCGATGCCACTGCTGGACTGCACTCAAGGTGCAATCACGTCGCCGAGATCATGGAGAAGATGGGACTTTATTTGGCCATTGGAGAAGACGACAGGCAACATCGTCTCAACGATGGCAACACTGCAAAAAGCCCTGATGATTTTCACGGCGCGGTGAGGAAGATGAAATCCATCATCAAGAGCAGGCTGAAAAAGAACAAGGCTGCCAAAAACTCGGAGTTTGTGGCCGTGTACAAGGAGCCAGCCTTGTTGCCCGATCTCAACCCTCAATCCTTTCATCCTAAGCGAGAACAGGAAAAGCTAAACGACCTGCACGCCGAGAGCTCGTTTTAAGGCTAGGTCCAAACCTCAAAGATCTGTGCAGGGTGCGTCTTCTGAGTAAGCCCTACACCCTAAAACCCTATTACCTTTTAGAATCCTACAAAGGGTCATAAACACCTGTACCCAAGTATTACATCCCGTAAAACCCAGACCTCTTGAGCAACCTAAAAGAACCCGTTGCAGGAGTGGGGTTTAAGGTGGAAGGATTAAGGTAGAGCCCGAATAGCCTGAGAGGTCGGGTTGTCTACACCTAAAGAACCTTTAACGTAAAACCCAAATCCTATTACCCCGCCCCGTAACAATACATACCCCTAGACCCTGTAAAACCGTAGCCATAAACCCCAAAACTCTGAACCGTAAACCCTACAAACCTTTAAACAAAAACGAAACCTTAGACCTAACAGCCTAAAATCCTTATCGATCCCTTATAGACCTCTGTAGGGATCCCTTTGAAGGGAAGCCCTACCCTAATCGTAAAGGCCCCCCCCCACAGCCTATCAGGTCAGGTGTCCTTCTTTCGACAGCAATTCGATCCGAGGAGTTCCGTCTCGATTCTTGGCCTTTCCAGAGGTCCAAAATGCAGTAGAAGCCCAAAAGTTGGAAACCCAATGGCCTCGACCCTTAAGATTGATACATAGGGAATCCCAGCACTATTTGGCCTTAATCCGGTTTCCAACTTTATGGGGTTTACTATACCTGGAGGCTCATGCCCTAAACCCTAAACCCTAAACCCTACCCCTTTTTAGGGTACTTAATTTTATGGTTAGGAACTGTTATACAGAAAATTAGGTACCCTACAAAAAGGTAGGGTAAAGGCCCCTAAATAGAGAGCAAAATCCCAAACCAAAACGGCTGAAAACAGTTCCATGATAGAACCCTTGAAGGAGCCCTTCAAGCAACCCCTTATGGCATTATGGAGCCCTTAAAGGAACCCTTCAAGGAGCCCTTGAAAGAGCCTGTGCGGGGAATTGAAATTGAAAATCCGAAGCTTCAAGGGAGCAGCCAGGGCCTTCTTACAGTGAACCTATCGTCTCCATCGTAGTTCCTTTTTTTGGTTAACCAAATCTCTATTATAGGATCCTAACCATAAAACTGGTTAACCAAAAAAGGAGCTACAATGGAGACTGTAGGCAGAGTCACAAGCCCGACAATTGTCAAGGGTCTGGGCTAGGGCTCCTTTTAAAGGGTATTGTAATGGCCCTTTAAGGGTTCTATACGGGATCTATATAGGGGCCTTAATAATTAGAATAGGCTTTTGGGGGATATTATACTAGAACTTTTATAAGAAGCCCCAAAAATAGTATAGGTAAAATTTAGGCCCCTACATTGGGGTCGAGGGTTTGGGATCTTAAGGTTTAGGAAGTAGGGTGTAGGGTTTAGGTCCTACGGTTTGGGCTTTCGGATTTAGGGTTAGATGGATTAAGCTACATGACCCCTTACTATCCATATCTTGAGTGCCAAAGCGCTGCGATCTCTTGCCCGGTTTAGATCTGCGATGTCGGTTTGGGGCGTGTGCTTGTACGTGCTTTGCGAGTGTATCACAGGCTTCGCCATGCTAGTAGAACCATGCGTGTGGGGCTTGACTACTCCCTGCGTGCCGTGAAGACACAACTGAGTCGTCGTAGTAACATCAACAATCCCATCTGTTTCAATCTTGCGCTCTTGAATTGTTCCGGTAAGTTTCTCGTCCCGAAATGCCACACCCGAAACGAAACCCTGAACCCTCAGACTCGAAACCGTGGTGAGGGTCGGCGTGCGTCACGTTGTACGCTTTGCATCATCGCTCCGTTGACCTTGTCTTAACCAGGGTCCCTTGAAAAAAATCCGAGCCCCCAGATGCGAAAGACAGAACCCGAAATCCTGAATTTGAAACCTGCCACTCTGTGCCTGCGCCTGCGCAAGACCCTGTAATCCCTGAACGCCCCCCGTCACTAAACAAGCTAAGCTACCTTTAGCGTAAACCTCGAACGAGCTTGTAGGGCAAACATAGAAGCCTGAATTCCCACCAGGATTCCGTATTACATCTGCACGAAAATTCACTCTAGAAAGCTTAAGGCTTAAAAGTAACTCTTATGGACCTTCGACGGAACGCTTTAAGGAACCCTATTCTAATTGAAAAGGAACCTTTTGAGGAACCCTACGTTCAAATTAAACGGAGCCCTTTGTTGAGGAACCCTATTCTAAATATTCCGGCCCTACCCTGCAGGTCAGGGTACTTTATAATCATGTCCTCTCCCAAATAACTGTAAATAATTACTAAGTTCTACACTTACCATCCTTATCCTAATTATGTTAATTTTTGGGTTCCTTGGACCCTTCGCCCCTACCTGAACCCGAAAGAACCTAGCATTTAAGGACTTTTACATGGGTACCAGCAAAACTACAAAGGTAGGTTCTATCCCTAGACCCCCCCAACTACCCTCTATTAGGCCCCCAAATGCCCACTATTAAGGGCCACTCTACTATAGGGCCCCAGACCTTCCAAAATCCCTTAATTAAGGAATATACCTGAAATCATATTAGGGATCCTACTATAATATAAGGTATATTCCTTAATTAAGGGATATTGGAGTCCCTAAACCATAAACCTTATAGATCCCTTAAAGGATCCCTTTAAGGAGCCTAGGGTATTCCTTAATTAGTTTTGGAAGGTCTGGGGCCCTTGGGGGGTCCAAGCGCCCTGGCCTTTAGGGCTACGATACTTCGACATTCAAAGGGAAAAGGAGGGACCCTTAATGGGGACCCCTACCCTATAATGGGCTATATAGTGGGTATATGATAGCTACAATAAGGGTATATACCTAGGGGTCCTTATTAAGGGTCCCTCCTTTTCCCCTTTGAGACATGTTTGGAGCGTCCAGTGCCCCTAAACCCTGAACCCTAAACCCAGTGCGTCTCTCAAAGGTCCTCGTAACAGGCTCTACCGACTAGGTATTCCGACTGTAGCAGGGAGGAAAAGGGCAAAAACAAACAAATAAACCCAAAGCCCAAAAGGGCCCTCAAAAAAGAAAACCCGAAGCCCAAAAGCCCTGAAGTCCTAAACCCTAAACCCTAAACCCTGAACCCTAACCCCAAAGCCCAAAAGCCCTGAAGTCCTAAAGTTTCTCCAACCGAGGCGCTTGGAAACCTGAGCTCGCTCCTTTGATGAAATTTCGGGTACCCTGAGGCTCCGTGTACCCATATAGTAGGTACTTAAACCTTAAGGGGGTCCCTATATGGATGGCTACTTTAAGGCCGAAGTACCTATATGGGTACATGGAGACTTCGGGGTAAGCAATATGGAGGGTTTAAGGTTTAGGTTATAGGGGTTTAGGGTTAGGGGTGTGGGAGCTTCGGGTTTATCCAAGGGGAGAAGGAGGGACCCTTAATGGGGACCCCTACCCTATAATGGGCTATATAATGGGTATACAATAGCTATAGTAAGGATTTTTACCTAGGGGTCCTAATTAAGGGTCCTTCCTTTTAATTTTACCCTCGGGGTTTAGGATATAGCGGGTTAGGGTTTAGCAGTTTAGAGTCTAGGGTTCATGGTAATGTTGAGGGTTTATAGGGTGTAGGGCTTAAGGTTTAGTGTTCAGGGTCCAACAAAGTTAGGCCAAGAGGTTATTTCATGTAACGGTATATACCTATGTAGCTTTACATGCTCCACTTTGAAGAACTGTAAATGCTCCCCGTTTGAAGAGCTTTTTAATAGCAGGTAACCTACACCCTAAATGCAGGACACTAAACCCTCACCGTCCTAAGCCCTACGGTTGATGATCTAACTCCTGCATAACCCATAATAAGGGATATACCATAACTCCCATAGTGTCGGGCCAATAAGGCAATGCAGGACTTATTTCATCAAACTAGACCCTAAACTCTAAAACCCTATCGATCCCTTAAAGGAACCCTTAAAGGTGCCCTTATAGATCCCTTTCAAGGAACCCTATAGTATTATAAACCGTATGACCCAGGTCCGAAACTCTAAGCAGCATGAACCCTAAACCATGACACTGAAGCCGATCTCAACCCTTAAAGGAGCCCTTTTCTTGGCCTTAAGGCATTTTAAACTCCCCTCCGAACCCAATCAAAAATCACAAACCCTACACCCTAAACCTCTAAAGCCCTAAACCTTCAACCCAAAACCCTATACCAGGTTCCTGGCGGACTTTGAGTTGGATTTTTCACACGCCGCCGGTTTGGCTTGGCGGAAGTATTTCACTCTGCGGCTCGGACTTCAAAGGATAACGGATTAGGCAGTTCAGGGTCGAGGGTTTAGGATTTCAGGGATTTCCAGCACCCCCCAGGTACCCTTTAACGGGCTCTAATATGTCTCACTAAGAGGTAATCAGGGACTACAATAAAGGGTAGTTGGGGGGTCTAGGTTAGGGTTACGGGTGCAGGGTTTAGGGTCTATAGAACATCAGGGATGATTCAGAGTCTACAAGGGCTATATTACTGGTACAGGTCTAATTACGTGAAGGGCCCCCCTGGTACCCATATAGAAGCACTAGTAGGAATTACCTATAGTCTCGTCGTTCCTTTTTGGGGGGGGTATCTTATAGGATCCTACGTACAAAAATTGTTAAACCACAGAAAGGAACTACACTGAAGACTATAGGTAGCCCCTGTTTAATCCCCAATACGGCGCAGTAGTAGTCCCCATAAGTCCATTCCCCCATTTGCTACTAAAACTAAGAACCAGCGAGTATAGGCTACATCGAAAGGGTGCTTTGAAGGGTGCCTTAAAGGGGCGAGCTTTAGAGGCTACTTAGGGGAAAGTTACAACTAGTCGTCACAAAGCTTCTCGCCTAAAAGGGCCCTAAGCCTCAAAACCCATGTGCTGTAAGAAGGTTGTGTCCTAAACCCTTGATTCTGCTGATGGATAAATTCCTGCATTGCCGATTTTATAAGGAATATACCATTGTTCCCATAGTTTAGAATACTTACGGTCATGCAGGATTTAGGGTTTAGGATTTAGGCGTCCATCAACAGTACTACTGTAATTTAGGAAACGATCCCCGTAATCTGTACTTTGGACCGTTTGGGTGATTGAGGCTTCCTGAAGGGCTCTTTTTTCTCCTAGGTTTGTAGCAAAGGGGCCCTGAGTAATCAGAATGGGGTTCCTTTAAAGGGGTCTACAAGGGCTACTACAATCGATCTGTAAGGGTGCTATAATTCATAATTAGAACATGGATTAGGGTTTGGGGATTAGGGTATTATTCTAATGCTACCATTATAATAAGGCGCCCCCCAAAAATAGTATAGGTAATTTGAAACGCTGCGCGTCGTCCGCCTCGGCCCGGCTGTACGCGCATGCGGCGAGTGGCTACTATCTGCAGCAAGCTCTTGTAGGAAAAAAGTAACAGTTGGAATCGCACTTATAGTAAAAGTAATGTTCATAGCAACACGAAGCAGGATGATTGTGAGTAGTATTAGTAGTGGTAGTATCAGTACGAATTTTGGTGTCGTCATTCCGAAACACTGGATACCAAGACTCTCGCAAGCGGCGGGATGCCTTAAGTATGGGCCGTTGAGGCTGTGGATTTCGTGGGCGTCTTGGATTAGGGTAGCATCACAGCCTTTTCAACCACGTTACTCCACGAAAGGGCGTCTAAAACAAGCCTGAGACGCACATAAAGATGCTACATTGCAGTCCCGTGTCGTCGAAAACTCCGAAAGCTCGCACCTGTCAGCGAGCGGAGGGAAAGGGGAGTGGGGGGGGCGGGAGGGGGGGGGGGGGGGGGGGGGGGGGGGGGGGGGGGGGGGGGGGGGGGGGGGGGGAGGGGGGGGAAGTGGGAAGCGGGCTCATCGACACGTTTCCATCTTAAAGGAACCCCTATTATGGGTACATGGAGCCTTAGGGTTATTTTAAGGACCTCATAGCATGGGTTCACAAAAGCGTCCGCAGGATTCCCTGGTAATTTTGGGTCGAGAAGCTGAGGGTTTAATGAAGGGGACCCCTACCCTATAACGGGCTATAGAATGTGCATATAATGGCCATATTGAGGGTATATACCTAGGGGTCCTTATTAAGGGTCCCTCCTTCCTGAGACATCAGGGATTCCACCTGCCAAAAGGGTGTTCTAAGAGTTCTACGACAAGTTTAGGCAAGAGTTCTGCAGGGTTCGTGTTTTGGATTAAAGGATTTAGGGCTCCGCTGCCTGACGTGGAGAAGAAGTTTGGCAAGGGTTCTGCACAGGTCCCCAAAAGTTTTCCAGGTTGAAACAAGGACTCATCTATTAAGGCTTTTGGGCCAAAGACCATACTATGTGGGCTTTTGGGCTGTTTTGATCCCTAGGAAAGTGCTCCGGGTAGTGGATTTCGGCTTTTGGGTTTGTTTGAGGATATATTTATGGTTTAGGGTTGGTTGTGTGTTCTTTCTTCATACATATTCAATTGCGTGGCCGGCGGAATGCTTCTGGTGACCGTAGTGGCAGCCAGTGTAATCTGTAGTTGCAGGAGGCACAACAGGGCCAGGGCAGACCATATCAGTCACTTTGGAAAACATGGTGAGCGTGATGCATGTGTTGAACCTTTGTTTGGTCGGGAGATGGGGCAGTCTGTCTGGGTCGTAGAGTGTCGCAGTGCAAGATTGAAAGTTGGATCAAGTTTGTTCGGAGGTCGTGCAGGGGCTCTCGTTGTAGTCCACCTATTTTTTTTAATGAGTTTCAGAAACTCATAGAAAACTACAACCCTGCCTTCAATCGTCGACGTGTTACGTGTTTACAGCTGTTCTGTCCCGAATGCTCAGGAATGGGGGTCGGGTTCATACCCCCTACCGCGCGCAGGGGTATTAACCCCCCCAAGCACTGGATCGTAAACCTTTGGCTGTGCGAGTAAAATTGAAAGCGGCACCCTAAGCCAAAGTCGCGAAGCCCTGTAAACCCAAACCCTAAACCCTAAACATTTTTATCAAGCCCTCTTCTCAGCCAACAACAAGCTCTAGCCCGAAGCCCAATCATGCATTACGCCCTTATTAACCCAGAGCAACTGGTTGTTTCAGGTGGCTCGGCTTTGTGGTGCTGGTAGTATTCACACAGGCGCTTGAGCTGAGGGCAATTAAATCAGGTAGGGTTTAGGGTTTACGGTTTAGGGGATACAAGGGAGTTGGGGTATTTGGGGTTGTGTTTTGCTGTTCATTTCGCGCTTCAGACGTTGGCCTAGCGACTTGCTGATTCAGGGCAGCTCAGAGCGTTTGGGTTTCGCATTAGCCGCAAGAGCTGCTTCAGATTATTATGTTAGCTTTTCCGTAGGGTCCAAAGTACCTTTATAGTAGAATGTCGGGTTTCTGTAGTAGGAATTACTATCATGGTTTGGTGAAGTATTCCCCATAACAGTACATAGGACCCTTTGGGGTAGTCTCCATTGCAGTTCCTTGTTGGTTAACCAAAATCTCTCTTCTCGGATCCTAACCATAAAGCTGGTTAACCCAAAAAAGGAACTGCAATGGAGACTATAGGTAGCTTTCCGTAGATCTAGCTTTCAATTCCCTAGAGCTCCATGTACCCATATAGTAGGTACTTAGGCCTTCAAGGGGTCCCTCTATGGCTACTTTAAGGCCGAAGTACCTACTATATTGGTACATGGAGCCTTTGGGTTGGGCCTCGACTGTGCTTCGGGTGCAAATCGAGCCCCATCCCCAAACCGTAAACCTTGAACATAAATCCGAAAGACATGCCAAAAATCCAAAATAGAAGCCTGAATGATTACCAATATTCTTATTGGAATTCCCTAGTATTTAGTTACAGTATAAGATACCCCTAAACCCCATTCTAATCATTAAGGCCCCTATAGTAGCCCCAAACCCGAACTTTTTTTTGAGCTGCAAGTCAGGAGCCGGAATCCCAAGCGCCTGTTTTCGCAACTTCAAAGCCCGAACTGGGCAACCCCAAGAGGTCCAAGTACCCAAGCATAGGGTTTAGGGATTAGGGTTAGGGTTGAGGGGGCAAATACTCGACCTTCCACGGAGTTTCCGCACAGGGGTAGTGGTCAAAATTAAGGTCCTTTTTTGGGGTACCCTAAAGAATAGGTGCCGTATCCTGATAGGGACCCCAAAAACGGACAAGACCATAATGTTGACAACCACCCGCATATTGCGGCAGGCCCGATCTGAGTCCCTGTTTGGTTAACTTTTGGCCTCCCGGCGCACCGGACAGGCTCACCCCACGTGTAGCAAAGCAATATTTAGTCTGTGATAGTAGTAAGAGATAGTAGTATTATGGTAATAATAGCGAAAATGACGGTAATAAGAATAATGATGACAACGAAAGTACGAATCCTAATCATAATAGTAATTAGCCTAATCAAGGGTCGGGAACCGGTCAGAGGACTTGCAAAGTAGGGTCATGAGTCAGGAAACTATGAAGTTTTCTGTGCTTATAACCCTAAGCAAGGTACGCTTCAGCCTAACCATAAATTCCATGCACTTTCACGTACATGACATCATCCACAAATCTGCACACACAAACACCAACCGATGTCGGAATGGGCTTGTACCGAAACGACAACCATGCGAACGAGGCCCTGTGCGGATATTCTCGCAGTCCATGGCTTCTACCGGGCCACCGCATATAGGCTATTGTGATGCTCAAGCGTCACGGCAATCTACGTCGCTGAGCTACATCGATGCCCTGACCCTCTAAGCCCCAAACTCCGACAAAATCCATCATTACCAAGGGCACCCTATAGCAAGCCCCAAAAAGTTGGAAACCGGATTAAGGACAAGTAGTGCTGGGATTCCCTGTACATTACAGTTCAGAATTGAGGCCATTGGGTTTCCAACTTCTCGGCTTCTACTGTAAACCCTAAACCCGAAGTAGAACGCCCAAGAATTCATCGCTCTCTGGGGAGGTCTGGGAGATGCAGCGCACCTTCACAGGCCACCCTCGTGGCTTAAGAACTCAGCTCCGTTAAAGGGTTCCTTAATTAACGGTTTACTAGAAGAGTTGTAGAAGGGCTTAGAAGGGTTTGGACATCAGTAATTAAGTTTGAGGTGTTGGGTTTAGGCTTTCAGGGTTCAGCGTCTGGGCATTTCGGATTTAGGGGTGCGTTTTCCGGCCCCAACCGTCGGGATATCTATCCCCAACGGGTCCAAAGTACCTTTATAGTAGAATGTAGGGTTTCTATATTAGGACCATTAGGAATTACTATTATGATTTGGGGAAGTATCCCCCATAACAGTACATAGGACCCCTTGGCAAACGTCTCTGAGAGGAAAAGACCCTTCGAGGGGCATAGAGTCTTAAACCCTAAACCTTAAATTAAAGGCTCATGTAGTCCCTAAACCCTATAAATCCTAGAATACAGGCTCATGTAGTCCCTAAACCTTAGAAATCCTAAAATACAGGCTCATGTAGCCCCTAAACCTTATGAAATCCTAAACAAAGGCTCCTGTTGTCCCTAAACCTGAAAAATCCTAAGATAAAGGCTTATGTAGTTCGCCCCTGCCTTCGGCGATGGCAATTGTCTCCGCTAGATGAGAGCAGTGATCGAAAGTGTGGCAGCGCCAGAGTCTTCAATTTAGGGTTTACCTTGGGTCTCCATTGTAGTTCCCCTTTTTAGGTTTAACCAAATATGTAGTAAGGATCCTACTATAAGGTACCCCCAAAAAGGAACTACAATGGAGACTACAGGTAGGGTTTAGGCTTCCTATGCAGTAGCCTCCTGCCTGGGCCCTAGCGTCGACGTACCTCAAGCCCGACATGAGAACATCGGCTGGAGTTCCTTGGCGTTCTTCTGGTAGGCTCTTGGGACTTTAACTTTATGGGTTTCTATATGTACCATAATCAGGAGGCTGAAAGTTTAACTTTTAGCAGGGGTTCAGAAGTCAGCCAAGATTCTTCAGCGGTCCTTTGTTGCATATGGTCTCTACAGGGAGCTGCTGGAGCTTTGCAACCTGCCTTTCTGCCCTAAACCCCTAATATAGGGGCCTTAATAATTAGAATAGGGTTTGGGGCACACTATGCTATACTTACATAAAGGAAACCCCACAATAGTATTGGTAATTATTCGGGCCACTATATATTTAAGCCCTAACCCTAAACCCTCGGCCCAACATCTGTAGGCCAATGTAGGTCAACGTAGGGGGGCAGCAGGGCACAGGCAGCACATCGACATCGACATCAGCAATGGATGCCTTCATGGAGGTCCTTCGCCTTCCGCGGCAGGAGCGGCGGAGGCAGCTGGGCCGTCTCGACAGCGTGGCCATCGTCCCTGCCTCGGCCGAAGCCACCAAAGCCCAAACCCTAGACTCTAAACCGCGAACGCCAGATTGGCCTCGTGCACGAGCTCACCGGCTTGCTGCCTTTCTAACACTTGGACTTTGGTCCCAGGGCTACCACTTTCAAGAATTTACAACCACGAGCTGGAGGCATCCGGTAGTGGCACCTACTTCCGCCAATCTTTCTGCAGGTGTCCCTGATGATGTTGAAACGCAAGGCCCCTACACAAGCTCGACTAGACCCGACACCCCGACGGCGATCCTCTAAACTTTAAACCCCAGGCCCTAAGACCAAAGCCCTAAACCTTAATTAAACCTCAAACCCTAAACCCTTAACCTTAACTGCTAAACCCTAAACCCACTGAAACAGGCCTGGATCCTGCCGCACGCGATTCCTCAGAGGTCCAGATCATCATACTTGTGGTTTGCGATGCTTGCACGCAACTGTTTAAGGTTTACAGGATTCATAGACACTTGTAGGGGTTTATAGTTTTTTGTTTGGAGTTTATAGGCGTCTAGGGCCTAGGAGTTGAGATTGGGTTTCTAGGTTGCGATGCTGGTTTGCAAATGTTAAGGCTTACATTTCTGGGTCGATAGAAATTTATATTCGTACTTGGAGGTTCATGGGTAGGTGTAAGTAGGGTTATAAGCAGGGTAATTATACTTATAACCCATATTAGGGAACTTACAACCCTACTACCTCCAAGTAGGGGTGTATAGGGGTTTAGGACCTTAGGATTTAGGAGTTTAGGAGTTGCTTGGTTTTTAGGTTGCGATGGTTGTTCGCAATGCTCCTGGGTTTAAAGAGTTGGGTGGTTGTCACAATTAGGGTCCCCTTTTGGGTACCCTAAATAATAGGTGCCGTATTGTAATAGGGAGCCAAAAAGGGACCATAATTTTGACAACCACCCAATTAGGGTCTATAGGGTTTAGGGATGCTTGTCTGCAATGATGTAGGGCTTTATGCTTTAGGCCCATGGCCTCCGAGATTTTTCTTGGTTCTTTACTCTAGGCCTTGGCGGTCAGGGAACCCTGTTCCCCTAAACCTCAAACCCTAAACCCTAAACCCTAAACCGTAACCTCAAACCCTCAACCGTGATACATAGCCCGAGGCCCTGGGTTGCGTGAATCTCTGCGCTTGCTGCAGCCTGGTCGTTATCGTGGCAGCAACGCTGTGCCTGGGCTGCACGGTTTAGGTTTGACGATGTAGGCTGGGCTGATTATCCACCCGGTGAGTGTAGATGCGCGCACGGACCAAGTGGTTTAGGGTCTGGCTTGTACTTACTTGGTGTGCGACGAATGGGCGAATGTGAAGTAGGCGATTCTTTCTACGTGTCAGTCGGACAACTGCAACGTGCCACGATAGAACTGTCGTGTGATGAGATTTGAAGTTTGCTTGTTTGCTAGCATCTCCGACAGAGCAGACAATATACGCACTCACCAACGCTCAGGAGCCCTAGCTACACTCACAGTTTAAATCCCTAGTCTAAAGCATAAACTAGGCTTCATCCAGTTCGTGTTGAGGCTGAGTACTGGCTGTGCGTGAATCTCCAGGTGTAATGCATGAGAGATGCAACTACGTACTTCTACATACACTTGACGGAATCTCGGAATCCCTGAACCTTAGACCGTTGATTCTGAAGCAGCCCGCAGTGGCAGGTTGATTTAACATTGTTGCCTTCCTTGTCTTGTCTTAACTTGTCTTACTGGCCTATGACCTCACAGTCAGAGTTCACATTCGGGAGATAAGAACAAGAAGAGGAGCTGCACTTATTGCAAGATCTACCGCGTAGTTCTAGGAACGTCAGATTTTGCAAATGTTCCTCTCGATGAGTCAGATGTTTGGGTTGCGGGCGAAGACACGTTGGACACTCAGCATGTTACATATACTAGGTAGGCCTTTGGGACATTTTACATTTTCCCTTATTGGGCTTAATAGTACCCTATTTACGAATATTTTTTAAAGGCTTTCAAGGGCCAACCTAGTATATTTTTGCATCCCTTCTTGCCCTCGAGCTTACTCAGCTTGCAAACTCTCTTGTGCGGAGGTCGCATTTTCTTCGCGGGCTGGACAAGTGCCTGGAGCGACTTCGCTTTGAGCCACCCCCAAGATCACAAAGTTTGCATTCTAATTCTACAGGTCTTCATCTCTGCAACCTTCATAGGGTTTAGGGTTCAGGGTAAAATCCCAAACCCTACCCTGTCACACCTGAAGTCTCCATAAGAACCCAAAACCCAAATCCGTAGCCTGAGCCCTAAACCGGAAGCTGCAGGGCGGGACCCCTGACCTCTCGACCGCCGGAGGGACCCTTAATCAAGACCTTATGGATATAGGGTTTAGGGGCCAAGAACGGCCGGCACTCGTGCTCTAAGAGCACGGAACATACTTCGAATAGATTTTGAGGGAGGGGGGGACACCCTGATAGTTGCACACCCGCGCCCAAGACGCCAAAGTTGCTGACCCCGCAGCCTTAAGCCCTAACAACTTTACAGCGAGCTCTGGGCTCTAGACGGCTCTACCACAGTAACGCCTATGCAGTATAGTATAGGAGAGCATAGTATGACATTGTCTGTTGTAAGTACAACAATGTATCACAATACAGCCAAACATGGTAAAATGTGGGAGTTTCCGAAAATTAGGGGGGTACCTTAGTTTGGGGTCCTTATAATAAGGATCTTACCATTTATTGGGTACTATATCAGGGCTCCCCTATTTTTGGAAACTCCCATGTAGTACTCAAACCCTAAACCCTAAACCCTACCCTAAACCCTAAACACATAGTAGAATGTAGTACCCAAAGCCGAAAACCCTTCAGACGGGCCTTTCGCGTCGCAGGACTGCTGGTGTTACGACATCTCTCAGCACGCGGTCCCCTGCCGGCAAAGATGGGCTTCGAGTTTTTTTTGGTTTAGGAGGCTTTGTAGAATCCCTAAACCCCAATTTAACCCCAAGCCCCTGTTTAGAGGTGAAGGTTTGGAGACAGAGGGGGCTTTCAGCTGGATGTAGGGCATATAGCATTCTTATGTTTTAGGGCCGTGGGGGCTGTCGTATTTCTGGGCATGCGGTTTCTTACGCTTTCGGCATTTAGGGTTGAGGGTTTGCTTGGGTACGTTTGGGGGTTTGGAATTTGGGTCGTTGGCCGGGCGTTTTTGTTGTTTTTTTGTTTGTTTGCGTTGGACCTTTCTGCTAATGGTCAGGAAATGGTCAATCACACTTTAGTAGAGGATCAGGAACCCTAAACCCTAAACCCCGTTACTCCCGACGTGCGTGGTTGTCAAGTGCATGTGAGGGGCGAAGGTTTCTCTGTTGTCTTTTGAGTGCACGCCTGAACCAGGCGGGCTGGCGAGTAACCAAAAGTCCGATGCACTTTAAAATGAAGAACCTACCTGTACTGTAACCCCAACTCCGAGACCCTTCAGGGGACCTTTACAGGAGCCCAAAAACCTAACCGCCCTAACCCACCATCCTTACTGTAAACCCTACTCTTCGGCATCCCCAATCCCGGCTAGACAGCTCTAGGTAATTACCCTTAAATTCTCTTTCTGTACCACTACTGTACTACTGTACTACTACTGTCAGGAATTCTATTTGCACTACATCTGTACTACTACTTTCCAACTGGACACCCTTCTAGAGAGCTTACCCATAGGCCCCAAAGTAGTCCCTTTTTGGGGACTCTTTATTTATAGGGTTCTGTAAATGAACCCCAGAAAGGAACTACTATGGGGCCTTAGGGTATCTCCCAGCCCATGTGGACACCCCCAGGCCCCTCGAAACCTACCGAGCCCTCCTGAAGGCTTCTATACTTAAGCGGCTTAAGCCTCATGGTACTGGGTCTTGGGGTTTAGGGTTTAAGTTTATAGGGTATAGCGTTTTGGGGTTTAGGGTTCATAGGGTATAGCGTTCTGGGGTTTAGGGTTTATAGGGTATAGGGTTTTGGGGTTTATAGGGTATAGTGTTTTGGGGTTTAGGGTTTTCAGGGTATAGGGTTTTGGGGTTTAGGGTTTATGGGGTATAGCGTTCTGGGGTTTAGGGTTTACAAGGGTTTTGGGGTATAGGGTTTATAGGGTACAGGGTTCAGGGTTTAGGGTTCCAGCCTCTCCCGATCCATCTCCGGAACCTACTGTTTATCACCTCTCGTTGTTTGAGAAACAGGTACCGTAGGGTACCTACAGTCTCCCTTGCAGTTCCTTTTTGTGGTTGACTTATAGGATCCCCAGTAAAAGCTTGTTAAACCCAAAATGGAACTACAATGGAGCCAAGGCTACCAGGCTGCCAGGTCTGGAAAAGGTTAGGGTTTAGGGTTGAGGGGTTTAGGGGTTAGGGTTTAGGGCTCAGGGTTTTGGGGTGAACCTCCGTTGAGTTAGACGTCCACCAGTGTCCGGCATGCTGAGGATTTCTCATTCGGGGTTCAATCCTGGAACCGGATGCAGGACCGTGCAGCTGTATGTTCTTTTTCCTAAACCCTAAACCCTAAACCCTAAACCCTAAACCCTAAACCCTAGACCCTAAACCCTAAACCCTAAACCCTAAACCCAAATCTTAAGCCCCAAGCCCTGAACCCTAAATCTTCCTAAACCCTAAACCTAAACATCCCGAAGCCCTAAAACCAAGCTTAACCCACAGAGCCTGCAAGGCCCCTCCTAATGAGGAGCGAGGGAGCCTGAGAGGGAAAGAAGAGAGAGCCCTAAGGCTTTAGCTGGTTTAGGGTTTAGTGGTGGTTTTAGGGTTTGGCTGCCCAGTTAGGGTAGCGAGAGGAGACCACGATCCCTAAACCCTGACTTCCCAAATATTTCATTCGGTTGATGATATATATCTGGCATGACCCATGTAAAGGATATACCACAATTCCCACAGTCTAGGTTCATGAAGATGTATATCACCAACCGTACGATATACACCCCGAAACCCCTATCGACCTTTGCAGCATCATTCCCCCACCGATAGTCGGCCCAAATAGGAATATCAGAAGGTTCCGAGGAATTGACATGTCAAAGTTGACGTGCATTTCACACAGCTGAGGGGGCAGAACCGGCGTTATCCAATGCAAGGTTTGGGGATCAGGAACACACCTACAGTCTCCATTACACTTAGTTTGTTTGCTCACCAAGTGTATGGTTAGGACCCTAGAATATCAAGCTTGCAATTGGAACGATAGGCCGAACTAGGAATCCAGAACCCTGATAACCTTAAAGCTTAAAACTCGGCCACATAAAGCCCAAACCCTAAACCCCACACCCAAACCCTAAACCTTAGACCTAGACCCTATGAGCCATAAATTAGACCTAGACCCTATAGACCATAAACCCCTAAAGCGGTCTCAGGAACGTACCATGCATTAGAAGGGGCCCCCACCCTGTAATAGTGGTATAGTAGGAATATAACAGGGCCCAAATATAATCCTTATAGTCACTATTACAGGGTGGGGGCAGCTTCTAAACCATGCATCTCACAGTTCATAGGTGGGCCAGGTTTTGGCCGAAGCCCATTAATTACTAGGTAGCTTAGGGGTGCCTAGAAATAATTTCAATTTTTGGTTATTATAACCCCTAAGAAACAGCTAAAATTACAATTTTTGCTAGGGTTCTAAGTTCAATATAAGATTACTGGGTAGGCCTTTGGGACATTTTACATGTTCCCTTATTGGGCTTAATAGGGCCCTATTTACGAATATGTTTCAGAGGCTGTACAGGGCCAACCTAGATTAGGGTTTCGCATGTAGGGGTTTAGGGCAAATTTCGACACAAATCCTTAACCTCATAAAGCTTATGCACCTGAAGCCCCGGAAGCCAGAAGCTCTAGACTCCTCTATCCGAAGCTTAACTTAAACCCCTAAATCTTCTTCGCTGCTCGTGTTCCGACGCAGTAACTTTGGGTTGGCCTAAACTCAACACCTTCCTTTTTCGACAGAAGTATGTATAGCTCCTGTACAAGCCCTGAAGGAGGAGGGCTATGGGCTCCCGGGGTGAACGATGAACTCCTGCCTTCTGGTTATTGCCAACAGGTTAAGGGTTTAGGGGTTTTGTCCTCGGGTCCAACCCCCGACGCCGGGAAGTATGCTCTCATTCGACTGGCAGCTACAAGAGCAGATGTGGTCTTTGAACGAGCGGCTTCCGGCAACGCGAGAGGAGCTGGACGAGGTGACGGGAGTTGCGTTCGAGTCGCAGCTCCGGGCCCGCACCAGTGAAGCTGGGGAATTGGCTTACTTGGCGTACGACCAGCAATTGATGTGTGTTTCGCAGGACCGCCTGAGAGAGGAGGTCGAGACCTTCTCTGAAGTGAAGGTCTGGGAGTGCAACCATAGCGGTAGGACTTATGTCCGAGATAGTCATGCAAACCAGGATCAGCTGCGGCGCGAGATCGCCTCTTTGCAAGCCGTAAGTTTTTTCAAATCATCAGAGTGTCTTGCCTTGTCCTTTTCGGGTTTAACCAGTTCGCAGTCAGGATCCTATAAGGTAGCCAAAAAAAGAAGCTCGATGGGGACTCTAGGTAAACCCTACTCAACCCTCAACCAGAAACCCCTCAACACCCAAGGCCCTAAGCCCCCTCAACCCTAAACCCTTAGCCCTAAACCCCTACACCAACCCCTACACCCAAAACCCGAAACCCTAACTAACCTTCGATATTGGAGGAGCTAAGGAGCCAGGGATGATGAGAACCCCTATTAAATAAGGAGCTAAAGAGCCAAGGGAGCCCCAAAACCACTGGTTAGCTAAACACCCGAGCCTGGCTTAGTTGGGGTCTCCAGGCGTTGCTGAAGTGTGTGGGCCGCCACCTCGCCAGCAGCTTCGTTTCTATGCAGGTGCCTGGCCGAGGCTTTAGAGGCATTACCCTGTGGGGTTTAGGGTTAGGGGTTTAGGGTTTAGGTTTAGGTTTAGGGTTTGGGAGCCCAGGTTCTTCATAAAAAGGGTACCGCTGCCCCCACCCTGTAATAGTGACTATAAGTGACTATAAGGATTATATTAGGGCCCCTATTATATTCCTATTATGCCACTTTTACAGGGTGGGGTTCCCTTCTAAGGCATTACCCTAAGGCTCCATATAGGATTCTAAATATGAACCCCAAAGAGGAACTACTATGGGGCCTTAAGGTAATAAGTGGATTAAATAGAGTTTTGCGCGGCATAGCGTAGCGTAGCGCAGCAGAGCAGAGCAGAGCGCAGCAGAGCAGAACGGAGCTCAGCAGAACAGAGTATGTGTAGCGGTTTAGGGTTTAGGGTTTAGGGATAGCATAGCACGGCACAACACAGCACAGCATTGCATAGCATTGCGTAGCATAGCATAGCACAGCATAGTATGCTGGAGACGGATAGGAACAGTCAGTAATAGCAGCATTGGTTGTTAATTATGCAGGCTTCTGTGCTGCTGGGGCCTCACACCCCGAAAATTGTGATGGCTAAGAGCAGGATCGTTCTTACCAGGACCTGTGACCAAAGTGGCTAAACTTCCCGGACCCCCGATGAAGCCATGCTCTGCCTTCCCTTGGTGTCCCGGGCGCTTGAGTTTAGGAGTTTAGGATGTTGAGGGTGTTGGTATCTGTCCACGTGCCCAGTGCTTTGCTGTTAGAAGCCCATAGAACCGTCGTAATGCGGACAGAACATAAATCCCTTCGAGACGCAAGCCCTCGTGCAAAGCCCTATCAAGCAATATACATTTGCAGCAGAACGTTGTTAGCAACTTGGACATCAAGCATAATAGCTTCGAACATCTCTTCACATCCTGTAGAGTTATATTGAGCTCTCTTGGGCGGTGCATGGAAGCCATCGAGATACTATATACGCATCCGAAAGACGTATGAACACCTATCTTAACATCTTGGGTGGATGGGTCCCGAAGTTGAGCATTGAGGGTTTAGTCCTGCTTTGAGGGTTCTGAATAGTGATGAAGCAGTATAACACTGTCTCTCAGGATGCCCAAATACAGTTACGGTAAGACCAGGCATCTATATCGTGCACAAATGTCAAGAGTCGCAGGGAAGGGGGTCTCTCAAGGCTCATGTTTTCCTAAGTTTAGGGCTTAGGGCTTGGAAAGGGGTCTTGACCTTTGGATTAGAGTTGAAGCTTGAACGCTTTGGGGTTAGGTGATCAGTACCTGAAACTGGGTCATTCATGTACCTGGGTCCTATTCGGTCCGCAGAAGGTACGTTAGGGTCAGAGTATAACTTCACGGTATGGCTACATGGACCCCTTGCAATGAGCAGTTGGCATGCCTGCGATCAGGCCATTGCATTCCTGGGCTTTGTCTACACCCTGGGAAGCATCGTTGCGTGCCGCGGCTGCGCTGCCAAGTCATGCATACTTGTAGCCCTTGTTGTGATGAGAGAGCCACGTAACCGCCTCAAGCCCTAACTTTCAATGCAAGCCTCAACAACACTGTCCAAGCAAAGACGAGTCATCCCAATACCCTCAACCCTAAACCCGGAGCCTAAACCCTAAACCCTGAACCCCGAAACTGTAACCCCTAAACCCCTAAACCCTATAAGCCCTTAAACCCTAAACCCCTAGACCCCTAAACCCCTAAACCCTAAACCCCTAAACCCTAAGCCCTTAAACCCTAAACCCCTAGACCCCTAAACCCCTAAACCCCTAAACCCTAAACCCCGACACCCTAAACCTTAAACCATTCAACCCGAACCCTAGAGTTGAGTCTTCGGACTTCACATGGGAGTTTCCGAAAAATTTAGGGGGGGGGTACCTTTTTTTGGTGTGTCCTTCTAATAAGGATCCTACTATTTAGGGTACTAGACTAATTAGGGTCCCCTATTTTCGGAAAACCCCTCACATAGCAGGAACTCTGTAGTTACACGAATCACTACTTACTCCGGAGACGGACCGAGGTGTCCTGCAAGGGCCCTGCTGAAATTGACAGGCATCCTCAACGGTTAAGGTTCAGGGTTTAGGGTTCAGTCCTAAACCTGTTCCCAAACGACCCCCCAACTACAAACTCCCCCCCTACACAGACCCTACCCACTGCGAAGATCCTAAACCCGATGAAGCATGGCAGATGTTTCCGAATCCTTTCGAATGCAGCCCTTCTGACTGATCTTGGCAGCATGGCACTCTAGATCCTATACCCTGATTCACTGTACCCGTTTGCCCTTTTTGTTTTAAGGTCCCCGTATTAAAACCGAATAGTAGGAAAAGGGCACCCTTATTATACAGGGGCTACTCAGGAACCTAGTTTAGACTTAGACCTATGAATTTTCAACTTTACCGCCGCATTGTAGTTTCCGAGGATGGTCTTGATGCAGAGTGACACGGTGGTCACCCATCTCATCTTCGACGGATTGAGCTTCCTGGCAGCTGCAGTTGTTGAGGGGATGTTGAGTACAGCGTCCCATTTAATTTAGGGTTTAGGGGTTTAGGGTTTGGGGGTTTAGGGTTTGGGGGCTTAGGGGTTTAGGGTTTGGGGGTTTAGGGGTTTAGGCTTTCGGGTTCAGGGGTCAGGGAAGCTCAAGCCGAACCCAAAGATCCTCACGGAGTTTCTTGCATTCCTGAACGTTAAACCCTACCTATAGTCTCCATTGTAGTTCCTTCTTTGGTTAACCAAAATCTCTAATATAGGATCCTAACCCAAAAGCTGGTTAACCAAAAAAGGAACTACAATGGAGACTATAGGTAAACCCTAACCCGCAGCATCCTGCGACTGTAGGAGTTATCTCAAAGCGCCTTCGGCAAAACCCGGCCCCTAAATCCCAAACCCTACTAAACCCTAAAGCCCAAATAAGGGCGGAAATGGCAAAAGAGGGAGCAGAGAGGAAGGGGCAAAGTCCCTCTCAAAAAAGCCCCTAACCTCCTAAGAGCTCTGACTCCACGTAAAGTGCCCAGGCTCGGTTCGTTTCTTACCCTTACTTAGCCCTTAACCACACAACCCCAAACCCTAAACCCTAAATCCCAAACCCTAAATCCCAAAATCCCAAATCCCAAAACCCCAAACCCCAAAACCCCAAGCCCCTAAGCCCTAAATTTCAATTCTAAAACCTAAATCCCACCCCAAAACACGAAGCCCCTAAAGCCCCCGAAGAGAGCGAGGCTCTCTTCCTCCCTCGCTTCTGTTTACCCTGACTAGGACCCAGACCCAAAGGCTCCATGTAGCCGTATAGGGGTTCCTTTAGGGGTTCTATAAGGGTTCTATAGGGCTTAGGGTATTAAGGGTCCATGGCAGCTTTATAGTAGATACTTAAGCCTTAAAGGGGTCCCTATATAGGTACTTTAAGGCCTAAGTATATACTATATGGGTACATGGAGCCTTAGGGAGAGTAAGCCCTTACCTATAGTCTCCATTGTAGTTCCTTTTTGTGGTTAACCAAAATCTCCATCACAGGATCCTAACCATAAGAGTGTAACCAACAAAAAGGAACTACAATGGAGACTATAGGTATTCCTTTTGTTAAGGGTTCAGGTTCCCTTATAACACCCTTTAGACCAACAAAGGCACCCTTTCTGTTCCTAGCTTACTCTTAGGTCTCGCTGGTAACACCTAAACTCCCTAAACCGAAAACCCTAAACCCTAAATAGGCACGTTGTAGCCAAAGTCCATACTATTTGGGTACATGGACCCTTAGTGTTATGGTACCTCAACCGAGAAAGCCCTAAGCCCTAAATCACAAACTCTAAGCCTTTAACGTGAAACCCCTAAACCCCGCCATGAACTGGGCGTATCCTGTCATGGGGACTTCAGCCATGGATGCCACGCACTCCGCCATGGACTCGGTGGATCGTGTGCTGGGGACAACGGCCAAGTACAAAGCCGCCATGCTTTTGTTTAATCAGGTTGTCAGAAACTGTTGGATTTTGTTGGGCTTATTCTATAGTCTATAGTTTAGACTATAAATTCTACAGATTGATGACGGTTCAGGCAAAGGCGGTGGTGGCGGCGACGGCACCGAAGTTGCAGTACATCGTGCCTAAGGCCAAATCGAATGGAGGCATCTGGGTGCCTCCTCCGCCGCTCAAGTGCCTCCAGCCTCAGGCTATGCCGAAGGCACTAGTAGCAGTGGCACACCCGAGGCCCAAGCTTATGGCAGTGAAGTCAGCCTCGTCGACGCGCAATCGTACCGTAGGGTCCTTAAGGCAATGCAGGGTTTATGCGATCAACCGTATCAATACGCCATCCCTGGGCCTAACCCAGCAAATATGTGGATTGACATAGCTTGCTTGGATCTACTTCGGAGGTACTTATCCTACATTTCCCCCTTCTTGAGTGCTACCTACATAAACCCTAAACTCCCAACCCGCAAAGACTAAACCCCCCAGCCATACACCCAAACCCTTAAACTCGAGCACCGTACAAGCCCTACGAAATCACAAACTCAAAGCCATGACAATCCCAAATCCCGGGTCCCCAGGCTCCCTGGTCCCTTCCGCTCTTGCCTCTCTAAGGATAAACCCTAAAAACCTAAAACTCTTTTTCGAAAATCCTACATCCCTAGGTTCCCTTCCGCTCTTGCTTCTCTTTATGCTATTAGGGTTTAGGGCTTAGGGAAAGTTAGGGATACTTGGTTTGGGGGTCCTTATGATAAGGATCCTGAATGAGGCTCCCTTAGGCTCTAGCTTCTTTTCATCCTTATGGCACCTAAACCCCCTATACCCTACACTAAACCCCTTAAAGTTGGAAACTGGATCAAGGCCAAATAGTGCTGGGATTCCCTGTACATTACCCTTAAGGATTGAGCCTATTGGGTTCCCAACTTGTTGGCTTCTACTGTATACCCTAAACCCCATAAATCCCAAATACTGAGCCCTGAGGCTCCCTCCCGCTCTTGCTTCTCTTCATGGTATGCATGGCAGCCTTCCCGGCGACGCCTTGAAGGGCTTTGGGGCCCTTTTATAGGGTGCAGGGCTTGTAGGGTTTAGAGGTGTGGGGTTTGGGGATTATGGAAGACTTTATGGGTTAAGGGTTTAGGGGTTTGGGGTTTAAGGTTGAGACGTGAAGAGTATGGGGGAAGCTGCAAGGTGCAGGATTTGAGGATTCAGGGGCTTGGGGTTTGGGGGTTAGGTGTTTGGGGTTATGGGGCTTTTGGTTTAGGGGTTGCTGGGTTTAGGGGTTGAAGGGTTCGAGATTCTGGAAGTTCGGGTTCGGAAGCCAGATCTCTTCGCAAATGCGTTTGTGTTGAAGGTACCAGTCATACACGCGACCAGCATCACAGAGCCGTATTCGCCATTTCCTATCTACTAAAGCTGCTAATTTACCCTCCGACCCTTGTCGTGGCGACACATGTGCATGTCCGCAAACTTGCTCATGCGATTCGTTGTTTTCACGCCGTGCATTTGCTCTTAATGAGCGCGGTGTTGTTTGAGGTTCGTTCGGTCGTGCCCGTTATGATATACCGAGCACGCAGAGAGCCCAATACCCCTTAAGCAAGGAATATAGCTTAAATCATAATATGAAGCCCTATATGATTTAAGCTATATTCCTTAATTAAGGTGTATTGGGCTCTCTAGGCAGGGGCACATCATGTTTCGCTTCCGGTGTTTTTGTTGATGCTGTGGGCTTCGAGCCTCAGAGTTTCGGAGGCCTGAAAAGGTGGGAGGAAGGTAGGTGGGATATTCCCAAATGAGAGTCCTTATGTAAGGGATCCTTGATCCCACTTGGAGGGTCAGGGGACTTAGTAAGTAGGTAGTAAGTAGACTTATAAGTACCCTAAAAGGGACCCTTCATCCCACCTTTTGAGGCCTCCGAGAGTTCAAAATCAAAGGCACGAGCCTGGTCCCCGACTGCGAACTTGCTAATATAGGGGCCTTCTTTCTTTCTGGTGGGCTAAAGGTCCGAGGGACTTGCCTATTGCATAACTGTACAAGCGAATTCAACGGTGAGACAGGAGGATGCCCAGTATAGGGGCCTTCATAATTAGAACAGGGTTTGGGGGGTATACTATACTTTGATTATAACAATAAGGAACCCCCAGAACCCTATTCTAATACAATATACATACATGGCCGCCTCAAAAGCCACAGGCCATAAAGGACTCCAAGGCTCAACACTCGGAACCCCAAATTTAGGGTTTAGGGTTTGGGGGTTTAGGGGTTCAGGGTTTAGGGGTTTAGGGTTTAGGGTTTAGGGGTTTAGGGTTTAGGGGTTTAGGGTTAGGGGTTTAGGGTTTAGGGGTTTATTTAGGGTTTAGGGGTTTATTTAGGGTTTAGGGGTTTAGGGTTTAGAGGTTTAGGGGTTTAAGGTATAGGGCCCAAAGCCCCGGCAACGGGCCCTGAGCTTCATGAACCGAAGGCCGTACCTGTTACGGCACGCGTTTCCGTAAAGGTCCAGGTACCCAAATATAGTTTATAATTTGGCCGCGAAGTACCTGTAGAATATACGAATTGCTTTACAGAGCCAATTTTTTCTCTTTGGAGACATGGACTCTTAGGGTTTGGAGCTCATTGAAAAAATTGGGGCCCCTTGTCGCGGCAATCGCGTTGTGCCATTGGGGACCTCGGCCCCCAGAGCTAGACTTGGAGGTTCATGGGTAGTTGTTAGTGGGGTTAGGCAGAGAGCCCAATACCCCTTAAGTAAGGAATATAGCTTAAATCATAATATGAAGACCTATATGATTTAAGCCATATTCCTTAATTAAGGTGTATTGGCCTCTCTAGGTATAAGGAGGGTTATAAGTAGGATTCCTTTCAGGGTTCTATACGCTTGAAGGTTCAGAGGCTAGGGTAGTTCTGACTGGGATGAAAAGTCCCCTAAGTATATGTTATAACGATAGTTCTCCTACTTATACCCCACTTATAACGAAGCACCAAAACCCTAGATCCTAAACCCTGTAACCCTAAACCCTAAACCTCCAAGTACCAGACTTTTGCCTTCTTTGACAAGGTAGGGATCCATGGGCCGCACGAATGCGACCCTCTAATCCTCAATTTCCGAGGGTTTGGGGCTTTAGGGCTTTAGGGTTTAGGGGTTTAGGGTTTAGGGTTTAGGGCGTTGGGGTTTGGGGGTTTAGGGTTTACGGTTTAAGCCTTGGTGAGACTCTGAGAGGAATACAGAAGCCCCAAATCCCGCATCCGGCTGGAAGGCAACTTGCAAAACTTTTACATACTAGTAGCTGGCTTGTAGCTTCTGTGGAAATCGAAGTTCCGGAGCCTTCACCCACAATCCGAAACACTCCAAAGCCCTACAAAACCAAACGCCCAAAACCCTAAAACCTTAAACCCTGAACCCTAAATTCTGGTGACCTCTTGGCCAGGTTTCTGCCAACGGCGCTGCATTGACTGAGACCTGGGTTGATTTGGGGGGCCCTTTACTAGGCATGGATTTGGGAGTTTCTGAAAATTAGGGGTGCCTTATGGGTCCTTACAGTAAGGATCCTACTATTTAGGGTACCATATTAGGGCCTCCAATTTTAGGAAACTCCCATTTGGGATAGTTGTTAATATCCACTATCCGTAGGCATCTAAGGACTCATATATTAAGGCTTTTGGGCCCAAAGACCATACTATCTGAGGCTTTTGGGCTGTTTTGATGCCCAGGGTATTGTTCAAGGGCTTCATGGTTTCTGGGGTATCTCATTAAGAGTTTTGGGTACAAGGATCCTATTGTCTAGGGCTGTAGACTTGGGGTTCGTTTACTTTGAGTCCTTCCTGTATGTATATATGTATGATGTATGTATGCAAGGATGGATGCGCGGGCGGACTTACGGATGGATGTAAGGAGTAGGGCTCCGAGATGTGCGCCTTGATTGAGTTCCGGCCGGAGGGTTCCAATCGTCCGACGGAAAGCTTAGTGTTTCAGGGTTGAAATCTCCTGTAAGCCTGTAGTTTATATTCAAGGAAAATCAGAAGATATTGTTGTTTTTAGTCCAAAAGCATGTTTATATTTAGTAAATTAAAATTTGTGACTGGCTTCGGCTTGCTATAAACTTGTAACCCTTCATAATTACCCATGGGCCCAATAGTAGTTCTTTTTTGGGATTACCTTATAGGATATTACGTATGAACCCCAAAAAGGAACTACTATGAGGCCTGTGGGTAACCCGCGAAACATGGGCGGCCACCCCTATATCTTCTGATTGAGGGAATATGTAATCACCACACGCAGGCGACCACCTGCATATTTTTCGATCTGTTGAGTGATTAGTCACGAAACACGGGCGACCTCCCGTATATCTTTCTATCTTTTGAGTGATTAGTCGCGAAACGCCGGCGGGTTCATCTATAGATTTGATTTCAGGTGCTACGGGCTTGTTCCGAAACGCGCGCAATTCGCGCCATTCGTGCCATTCACACCACTTCGTCTTCGTCCTCGTCGTTGGCACGGTTGCAGTTTCTCTGCTGGGGCAGGCGATGCCAAAGCTGCGCAAGCTCAACGTCTCTCAGTGCGGTGCATGCTTCGGGCTCGCGGCCTGGACAGCGGGGGGCCGAAGAAGAAGCTCGTTGCACCGCAGACATGTTTGGAGCTTTTTGAAGCCCCCCAGTGAAGCCCCAGCGTGACGTGCTAATTATTTGTCGGTGTGACCAGGGGCGCCTGCTGTCGAACGCCCCAAGCTGAGTTCCCGGATGAGTGAGCGGAGCGGGGCTTTCGATGGCGGATGGCCATCCCTTTCTTGGAGAGGTGCGGCGCGAATTGGTCGTGATCTGTTTCAAAGTAGTGTGGGGGTTTCCGGCTCGAGGGAGATGGCGGGGTTGCCAGTGCTGTGCATACGACCACATCGACCTGAGCCCTTAAACTTTAGCCTGCAACTTCCCGTAACCCTGAGCCGTCAGAAGCCTTGCTAAGCCCTGAACCCTAAAGCCTTAAACCCTGAATGCTATCAGCCTTTTTGGCTTCAAAAATCCATACACTCCAATGCCCCTAGGCTCACTTTGGCAACCCAAAACCCTAAGCCCTATATCCGCCTTGGAGCCTCTTGGGTTTGGGTTTGGATTTATAATATAATAATGGGCCCCAAAACCCTATTCTAACTATTGAGCCCCCTAATATGGTACCCTATTATAGATCCCTTATAGACCCCTTTAAGGATCTCTTTCAAGCGGACCCTATGCCCCTAGAAGGGTCTTTTGCTCTCAGAGACGTTTGCCAAGGAGAAATGTCGGATCATCCCATCCTTGGTCAACCAAATGCCCTCGGAGGCTGGCTCAAAGTAGCACAGCAATCTCACATAATTGTGTAGATGTATGTGTATATCTATATATATATATGCATATATATATACATATATATATATATATGCATATATATATATATATATATGTGTATATATACATATATATATATATATGTATATAAAATATTTGTATTTATTGATAATGTTATTATTGTTAATATCATTGTTATATATATACATATATATATATATATATATGTATTACTGTACAATTAGAGAGTCTGAATCCATAACTCGCGACAGCCATGAACAACTGGGTCCTGTAGTGTGTTATTTTTTTGCATATACATACATATATATGTATATACACAAATATAATACATATTCATCAACGTATGCAGAGACGGGTGGTCAGTTTTTGAGACTTGTCTCTGTCCTGAAATTCACAAGATATCAATCTCTGTATGCACACACACATATATATATATATATATATGTGCTACCTCCCCCCCCCCCCAAAGACCAAGGTTTTCAGATAAGAACATTGGTGGGTGCTCCCAGTAATATAGAATTCTGGAAGAGTACTGAAATAATGTTGTTTTGGTAGTGTTTTTGTTTTTGGTGGTATTGTTTTTTTGTTTTTTGTGGGTATTGTTTTTTGGTTTTCTCGCCTAGAGCCGTTCTAAGCGCGATCACGGCCAAAACGTTTTCCATTCAAGTGCCATATTCTGTTGACGGCTTACTTCGTATGGAAAACTCGCCCCATGCCGTGTGCTTTATTAGCTTCAGTTGTAGTATGTGGTCAACCCCACAAACACATTTATTCTTATACTTTTGGTTTTAAGAAATCAAGCTACTTGTAAGGTTTAAAAACACCTACCTCGATGCCATCGTTTAGTGTGTACCATTTATTGTATGCGAAAAGAAAAGGCTAATTATTTGCCGGCTGAATATAGAATTGTGTACTCTTCGACTATATGTGTGAGATATCAAGCATATAGTCTTATAGCTTAAACATGCCTATTAAGTATAAGACCTCGGTGTTACCATTTAGCATGCACCATTTCATTCTTGGAAAAATAAGGTTAAGTACTCAGCAATTGGTTATACAATCGAATTTACAGGGTCTGTTAACTGCTAATTGCTAATAATATGGCTTGAGATTCCTTGTTGCGATTTACCCAGATAGCTGCTCAATAGAAGCAGTATACTAGAACCTTGGAAGGTATACTTTTGAATAGAAGCCAAACAGCCTGAATAAATCATTCTACAACTAAGCTATTCATGAAGTGGTTTGCCAGTTAACACGAACAGACAGAAAACTATATTTATAATGCTTCATATGATATCACTACACCCAGGAATATTGACATACTTATACGGATTACTGACTGCAGAAACATTAGTTTTCTGTATGTTGGTAATTAGATGATTGGGTAGATTGAATTGAACCCTCGAGTCAATTCAAGCATGATTTAAACATAAGAACAGCATAGAGGGTTTGTTGTCTGCCGATGAGAACTCAGAAAGCAATATGTTCGCAGTAGTGCCTGTAGGGACAACGTTATACTGATTTGAAGATGTAGCTTAGTATATAGCTGTAGAACATTATTTTCACAAGTACGCAAACAGCTGGATAGGCCAGATCTTCGGACCTATTTAGGCCGAGTGTTTATTTACTTATATCAAATCAGTTCTAAGTATTATAATAATACGGTGCATTTATTAGTCTTTCCAATAATTCAATCGAACATATACATGCATGCATAGATTGCTAGCTACATGGACGTTAAAGTATGTGCTTCTGCTTTTGATACTTCAGTAGTATACAGTTCGATAGATTGAGCCCTCGATTATATTCTTAGAATTCCAACTGCATTTGTTGCATAAAACTAGTAGTGTTATCTGAATTTAAGCTGGGCGTAATTCAAAAGAATACGTTTAGGGAAGCTTAAAGGTAGTATCATACGTCTAGTTGATGACTTTCTCTTCATAGCCCTTAGAACCCATATGCGTGTACTCCAAAAGTACGCAAACGCAGCGGCAGACTTTGACCCTTAAACCCAATTTTCACACTTCCACGTACGGCCCTCATGATCGGTTTCAAGATAAACCCTATTGAGTTCAATAGGGCATTTTGAATTCAATAGGCCTCCCGGATTGAAGATTGAGGATCTCCCAGGAAGTTTTTCGAGGGCATCTTCAATCTTCAATCCAGAAGGCCTATTGAATTCAATAGGGCCTATTGAATTCAATAGGCCTCCTGGAATGTGCGACAGGAAATGGTATAAGGATTATTGTATGCAGGCTTGTATGAAAACCACAAGGGGGTTGTGTCATGCATGTTTGTCCCTACACCTTAACAGGGTTGTTATTGGCACCCTGCCCCCCCAAAGACCAACGACTATCGGCTAGTGTAAGTAGTAAGTAGGCTTGTATCTAAAGTTCATGTAGAAACCTTGGTCTTTGGGGGGGGGGGGGGGTACCATATATATATATATATATATTATACACACATGCGTATATAAATAAACAAAGAAACAGGGGTATGTCTAGATAGCAAAATCACAACATGGTGGTCCCTGACTCAAACATATGCATCAGTATACAATATCAATATATATATATATATATATAGATACACATGTACACACACATAATATGTTCTATGTACCTGTATACGCATAAGTCTATGTTTCGATGCATGCATGGGTACATACATTTCTACATTGAAGGCAATGATGCCTAAACCCCCTAAACCCCCCCTAAACCCCCCCTAAACCCCCTAAAACCCCACCTAAACCCCCTAAACCCTCTAAACCCCCTAAACCCCCCCTAAACCCCAGCTAAACCCCCTAAACCCCTTTGCTGTAGCTCTTGGGCCCGGCAATAACCTTGCAGCACGAGTCTTTAGAGGCCTAAGGTCCTTTTAAAGGGTTCCTATAAGGACTACCATAAGGGATCTATAAGGGGTTCTATAATGTAGGAACCTGATTAAGAACCCTTGGCCTTTGCTAGGGTTCCTTGTATGAACCGTACTATTTTGGGCCATTTTGGGGTTATAGGCCCAGGGTTTCGTAATCAGGTTCCTACGTTAAGCCCAAACCTAGGGTTCAGGGTTTGGGGTCTAGGGTTTAAGGCTTCAGGGCCAATCTGCTTTCGGGATTTCGGCATCCGAAGGACAGGCTGTTTCGTACGTCCCGCTTCTTACGACTACGGCCTGTTCGTATCAGGGTTGGGCAGACGTTTTGTAATGCGTATATCCAGCTTTCTGAGTCCTCTGAGGGAACGGCCCCAAGCCGTCAAGATTTACGGACACGAAGATTCAACGAAGCATCTATCTCCCGGCTTCCTAGTCTGATTATTCTAGCGGCTTCAATAATTATCTATCCTGTTGTGGGGTTCCTTTTCACGTTTATAGTATAGTGGGCCCCACAACCCTATTCTTATTCAGGCACCTGTATCAACGCGTAAAATACCCACACGGCTGAAGGAGAGGCAGAATTCCACAAAACAGACTCCACGAAGCTATGCTACTGGTGCGCTTTAGTGAAGCTTACTGCCATTTGTTGTATTGCGACACGAAAGAATCGTAGTGCGTTTTTCGTCTGGGGCTGCTTTGTGTCATGGCAGAGGGCAGGACAGAGGTTACGGCTCATGACCTGGAGTCAACAGATAGCCCTAAGGGTCCAAAAGACCCAATAATCAGCTACTTGGGTTTAGGCTAGTAGTTATGTAGGTTACTATTTGGTAGAGTACATGATTATTAGGTACTTGCACCCTTGGGGTAGGCGCAACCGGGTGCAGGAGAAGCGGTTCCCACGGATCTTCCAGAGCTTCCATGCCACAACAAAAACCCACGGAAGCTCACGGCGTTAACCTCAAGCCCTAAATCCCGAGCTGCTCTTGGATGCCTGCATTAAAGTTAAAGCCCCGATCCCTAAATCGAAGCGGTTAAGGAATGCGTAGTATGCTACTCTTGTCGTTATCACTAAACAGCATTATCTTTATTATTAACTTGGATCCGCAGTACCTAACCTATACACTTTTGGGGTTCTTTGACGTTGAAAGTTTAACCTTTTGGTTCTGTGGCTTATTGGTGGAGTCAGTTAAAAGGAGCCCGTGGAGCATGATCGGCAGTATTTGGTCCAGTTCATCTCGGCACCCTGGCCTTGCAGACGGCCCTATCAGGAGGAGGGTTTATAAGGGTTTATAGTTTATGGTTTTTAGGGTTTATAGCTTATAGGATTTACAGGGTTTATAGAGTTTTAAGTTTATAGGGTTTATGGTTTATAGGGCTTATAGGGTTTATGGGGCTTGTAGGGTTTATATGGTCTAGGTTTGACATTGGCTCGGTGGTGTTGCTTTTCGAGGGTTGGGACCAAGCCGAGCTGTTGTCAAGATGGGTTGCGGAGTATCTTGTATTGAATACATGATGACTGCAAGGATGTGTTGCTAACTATTCAAGCTCCTGTAGCCAGAAACAGGTAATGTTGATCTTCCAGGGATGCTCAGGATGTGGGGTTGCAGTTTAAGTCTAGGGTGCAGTTTTCTCTCACATGCACGACAGGTGTACAGAAAGCCTTAAGCACGTGCCATCTGCTTTCGTCATTGTCGCGGGCCGTGGATGTAGACGTCCGGCTTGGCCGATCGTTCGCGCCCAGGATGTGCGATTTCGTGCTTCAAGAAGTTTGGTTGAGGTTCTAGATACCCTGAACGCACATCCCTAAAGCCAAAGCCATGAAGCCCGGAACTCCTAAGAAGGCCTGAAGCCCCTATAAACCCCTAAAAGCCCTACACCCCTAACGCCCCTCTCCCCTGAAGCTTCTACTCCCTACCCCTGTACACTCAAACCCTAAGCCCCCGAAAACCCCTAACCCCTACAGCCCTGAAGCTCTAAAGCCCGAAACCTCTAAGGCCCTCACCCCTCAAGCCCTAAAGCCGGACCACCCAGAAACCTTAAAACCGTAAAGCCCTAAGGACGCCAAACCCTAAACCCCTACACCTTTAAGCACCTAAACCTAAACGCTAAAGCCCGAAGACCCCCCCAAACAAATCCATGCGTCGGAATTTGGCCAGAGTGCCGGTGTTGGAGTAGGATAGGGTTCAGAGTTGAGCGTGTCGTGTGGCAGTGGGGTTCTCAAGTTTCAGAACTATCTGGCTATAGGTAAGCTGAAGTTTGTGGGGAACTTGAAACGCCTGCAAGTTGGGATCCTAATAAGAGCGTCTATTCAGGCTAAGTTGATATGCGGACCATCGGAACAGCATAGTACGGCCACCACCCTAAACCCTAAACCCCAAAACCCTAAACCCAAAACCCTTTTTTTAAAAAAATAAAAACCCAAAACCCTGAACCCTAAACTCTAAACCGTGGCTAAGCCATGAGTCGCCAATCATGACGACGAGGACCCTCAAAGAGGACTGTATACAGCGCAACCCCATGGGTGGGTTTAGGGTTTAGGGTTTAGGGTTTAGGGTTCAGGGTTTAGGGTTTAGGGTTTAGGGTCCCTATTATAATTCGGCACCTGTTGTTTAAGGTACCCTAAAAGGGACCCTGATTTTGACAACCATCCCCATAGTGGCATGCATTGTCCATGTGCAATCGTTGGATTTGCAGCTGCGGGTTCCCAGTTTGGCTCGTTGTCTTGGCCCCTCAATCACCCTGTAGTTGAAGGTATGTAAAACATATGAGAACAAGTTGAAACATAGTAGAATAAGATAGAATGGAACAGAATAGTCGAAAAGAGTAATTATGACTTATGAACAGAGGCGTAGCGATTTGTGAAAGTCCCTTTGCTTCCTGTGATTAGGACTTTGGATAGTGCTTCAAACCACAAGCCTTGAACCGAGCTTAGGACAGTGCTGCTGGGTTTATCGTGAAGGATGTGCCGCTGACAAGAGCAGCTTGTCTTTTCAACGCCCCACTCCGAAGGTGTAACATAGTAGCCTACCTGGAGGCTCATACCCTACCCCTTTTTCAGGATACCTAGTTTTATGGTTAGGATCTGATATCTTAAAAAGTAGGCGCCCTAAAAAAGGGGTAGGGTATGAGCCTCTAGGTAACTCACTATCTGTCGGTTTGTACTTGTACTGTAGGAACCTCAAGCCCTAAACCCTAAACAGTAATATGCTTCCCAAACTCTTGTTTCCGATGATTCCATAACAAGCCAAGCCACAACGAAACCAATTCCACCAAAAACTATAAGAACTTGATCCCGAAAGCTCTTCATTTTTAAGCAACTTGAAGTTTGTGAGTCCCGCCAGGGGTAGGGGCTAAGTTTCTTCCACAGTGGGTTCTTATACAGGACGTTCACTGTAGAAGCTCCTTGACGGGGGTTGTAAGTTTGATGTACAGACATTGGCTTACTGCAAGGAGTCGGCGTCATTACCTTATTACCCATAGTATTCCTTAGGGTGCCTTAATACGAAATTTTGAAATCTAATTATTGAGGCTCCTAGGCTATCTGTTGGCTACGGCCCGCACTCAGTAATAGTTGAATAGTATTTATAATATAGACATATTAGGACCTTAGTAGTAGCCCTATTATAGACTCTTACTGTGTGGGGGCCGTATCTAAGTTATCTGCATGCGCCAGGCCTGCAGGTGCTTTCTTGTGATGTGATAGCGTGCACATGTCGTGACAGACCGCATTCTAGGGGCGTAAAAAGTTACCGATATTGAATACAGTTCATGAGATGCCTGAATGCAGTGGGAATGTTGTGATCTTTTCCAAAGTATCTGCTGGGTTAGTTCCAGCGCGGATTTCAGGCTGTTCGTATACTGTCAGGTTCAGGTGTTGGGCAAACGGTAATTACGTATGGTTTACATGCTGCGGCTATATACATCTTTGCATGATAATCCCTGCACGCAATGATCCCAACATTTCGACACCAGCTACCCCCACATGCCGTCGAGTGTGGCTGTCCTAACATGTTGGCTGATCGCCAGGAAATGTTCGCCAAGCAGTTCATCCTCATCGCAGGCCTTACGTCAGGCAGCGAAGGGCTGTAGAGAATTCCCTAAGGGCCCATGTACCAATATAGCATATGCTTTGGGCCCAATGTACCTATATAGGGAGTACTTTAAGGCCACTGTATGAGTACATGGACCCTTAGGGATTGAGGCTGCCACCCATCGTAGGCAGAACGCTTGTGATCAAAGTCCCTCGATCTCCAAATTTCCCTCATCCATGCAAAGCTTCCCTAAGCCCTACCTAAAGGAGACATTGCCCTTCAAGTCCCGGGTAAAAACAGGCGCAGTTTAGGGTGGAGAGTTTTCTGCTCAAGCCAGGTTTGTTCGCAGCGCTGTCGCGGCTGTCTTTGTGACGAAGTCGGATTTGTCGATATTCCAGCTTGGTCTCTGGTCTGAAGCTTAATGGTTCAGGGAGTTAGGGTTTTTGAACGAAGAAGGGGCCCCTGCTAGTAAGAACTCCCTTCTGTTTCGGAGCCTGGAATGTGATTAGAAGAGCTCCCTAAGCCAACCCGAAAAAAAAAACCCTAAGGCTCCATGTGCCCATTTGGTATATACTCTTTATTATCCACTATAACGGCAAATGGAGCCTTTGGGAAACCCTAAGCCCCCTGAACCTAAGCCCAAGAGGTCGCTCTCGTTCGGATTGTCCGCAGGCTGCTCGCATAAACCCCTAAGCCCCCAAACTGAAAACCTCCTGACCCAAAGGGTCCTATGTACCGATATAGTAGCATGTAGGGTTTCCACTTCAGGACTTACTACTATGACTTAGGGAAGTATCCCCCATAACAGTACCTAGGACCCTTTGGGTGCATAGTGATCTCATGGTCGGCAGGGGCGGCTTCAGGATGAGAGTACAGGGGTTCGGCGAAAAGGCATGGACTATTCGGCACGGAAGTGTGAATTTCAGGTTTTGACGTTGTTTGGTTTGTGCGGAAAAATCCTGGATGTGTGTGTTTTGTTTGCACAGGGTTTTAGAGTTTTAGAGTCAGGTGTTGAACGTAGGTTTAGGACCTTGTTTTTCGGTGATGGTTTTCGACACGACGCCAGGCCAGGGGCGGGGGCAATGGAAGCTAACTCACGAGACCTTTCGGCCACTACCATCATGTCATAGCGACCCTTAGGGGGGTAGCCCTGGGGCCTTAATGCCCATAATAAGAACCTAATGCGGCCTATTTAAGGAAGTATAGTCCCCTACCCCCCTCCCCTCATCCCCCTAAGGGTCCCTATGACACTATTCTACTACTACTACCACTACTACTACTACTACTACTACTACTACTACTACTACTACCATACTACTACTCCTGCTGCTGCTACTCCTACTACTACTACAACTGCTACTACTTTATTACTACTACGACTACTACTACTACTATACTACTACTACCACTACTACTACTACTACTACTACTACTACTACTACTACTACTACTACTACTACTACTACTACTACTTCCTAATACTACTACTACTACTACTACTACTACTACTACTACCACTACTACTACCACTACTACTACTACTACTACTACTACTACTACTACTACTACTACTAGCGGCAGAAGTAGTAACAGTAATTGTCTTCGCCGTCGTAGTAGTGATTCGATGTGAGGACGACGTTGATGTCGATGATGAGAAGTAACCGGATAAATAGAGGTAGTGTTACTGGTGGGAGTAACACAATGCTACCTATCTAAACCATAAAACCGAACGAAGCGTCCTCGAGCCGCCGCCCCGGAACCCCTGTCCGTAACCCTGTACCTTTGCTTTCCGCTGTGTCTCCTTGCTTTGCCTGACCAGCTGATTACCAGGATGGAAGCCATGTGGCCAACACAAGGGTCCACAGATTGGGGTTCCAAACTCTTCGCTCGAATTGAGGTCCCTTCCAGCTGCTTCGCCTGCAAAGAAACATGCCAAGCCTGACCCTCAGCTTTGCGCACAGGGATTAAGATCTGAAAAATAAAAGGCACGGTAGAGTACAGCATAAGACTAACGTATTATAATTTATAACGTACCGTAGCAGAATAAAGTAAACAATGTACTGTATATGTATAATTATATATATGATAGCGTAAAGCATGACCTGATATACTCTATACTATAACACGGCAAAGTTTACTGCAAAATGTTGCATAAGGCACTACAGGACAATACGTATAATATTGCATAACCTAACATAGAATAACATAATAGGTCACAGTTTAATTCAACAGAACATAACATCACAATGATTTTGTTCTGAATATGCGTAGTAATGTTTTACACATATACATATAAAGTAATATATATATATATATATATATATATATATATATTTATGTGAGCATTACTATGCATATGTTTGTGCATGTTTTATAACAGTTGAATCGTATCGTATTGTAGTTGATGACCACACAAAACAACATATTACGTTAAAGCATAATGTATTTCAGTATGACAAGATACATACTACACTTTGATCTACATCAACGTAGCATAATGTTGCATGTTTCAACACACTTATTTTAACATTTTATAATATTTGTTTACGAGGAATGTATCTCTAATAAACAATTGCTGTTTAAGCAACGACATGATATATGCCTGCACATATGCATGTACGTACGTAGGTACGTAAGTACATATATGTATGTATGAGCGTATGTAGGTATTTAGGTATGCATATATGTATATTTCTGTATGTCTGTATGTTTGTATGTTTGAAGCTGTATGTCTGTATGTATGTAAAGATGTGTATCTATGTACGTATGAACTATCTACTTTTGATAAACTTTATCATGTACTACAAGTAGTAGTAGCCGTCGTCGCATCTGGTCCCCCAGTCCCCAGACCCTATTTAAACCGTAAACCCTAAACCCTAAAGCGTTATGTAGAACAAGCGCCTGCTGTGGATGTCCGCTCCGTGATTTTACCTACGTTTGGGGGGTTCGGGCAGCAGCAGCTATAGTAGTAGTAGTAGTAGTAGTAGTAGTAGTAGTAGTAGTAGTAGTAGTAGTAGTAGTAATAAAGTAGTAGCAGTTGTAGTAGTAGTAGGAGCAGCAGCAGCAGGAGGAGTAGTAGTAGTAGCAGTAGCAGTAGTAGTAGCAGTAGCAGTAGCAGTAGCAGTAGCAGTAGTAGCAGTAGCAGTAGCAGTAGCAGTAGTAGTCGAAGAAGTAGTAGTAGTCGTAGCAGTAGTAGGAGCAGGAGTAGTAGTAGTAGCAGTAGTAGTAGTAGTAGTGCATCCCCCCCCGGTGTGACGCCCAGACCTCATGTTTTTGGGACTTGTTGTGGTCGGAAATGTTGTGTTTTACAGCACTTTTTTCCGCAGTTATCGAAAGTGGCAACTGTTCCTGGTTTCGTGTGTATTTTTATCATGTTTTCTATCATTGTTCATCAATCTCGCACCTCAAAATGCTGGTATTTACAGCACTTGTCTTTGCGAATTTCATGATTTTTGCTGTTTTTTGAAGTCTCGATTTTCCTGCCCAAAACCTAGCGATCAGAATGAAGGTTTTTATGGCCTAATTTTGGTCATGATGTTTATCCAAATCCTTGGAAAAGACAGCACTCATGTCCAAAACCTAATGACGTCCATGGTCTAGAGCATTGAGGTTTGGAGAGCATCCATGTCCAAAACCTAATGACGTCCATGGTCTAGCGCATTTTGGTTTGGAGAGCATCCATGTCCAAAACCTGATGACGTCCATGGTCTAGAGCATTGAGGTTTGGAGAGCATCCATGTCCAAAAACTAATGACGTCCATGGTCTAGCGCATTGAGGTTCGGAGAGCATCCATGTCCAAAACCTAATGACGTCCATGGTCTAGCGCATTGAGGTTCGGAGAGCATCCATGTCCAAAACCTAATGACGTCCATGGTCTAGAGCATCGAGGTTTGGAGAGCATCCATGCCCAAAACCTCATGACGTCCATGGTCTAGCGCATTGAGGTTTGGAGAGCATCCATGTCCAAAACCTAATGACGTCCATGGTCTAGCGCACTGAGGTTCGGAGAGCATCCATGTTCAAAACCTGATGACGTCCATGGTCTAGAGCATTGAGGTTCGGAGAGCATCCATGTTCAAAACCTAATGACGTCCATGGTCTAGAGCATTGAGGTTTGGAGAGCATCCATGTCCAAAACCTAATGACGTCCATGGTTTGGCGCATTTTGGTTTGGAGAGCATCTATGTCCAAAACCTAATGACGTCTTTGGTCTAGCACATTCCGCGACAGTTCTGATGGAAACATTGTACATCCACGAACTCTGCGACCGGCGTCGCACCAGGGGGGATAGGGTAGTAGTAGTAGCTGTTGTTGTTGATGTTGTTGTTGTTGTTGTTAGTATTGGTGGTAGGAGCAGCAGTGATAAAGTCGTAGTCGTACTTGTACTCGTGGTGGTGGTGTTGATGGTGGTGGTAGAGGAGGTGCCAGGTGCTATATGGAAGCTATTTACGCGAAGCTAGTTAAACACTACATAGCCTCATAGAAATCCTGCGCGTGACCATGCAGACCCACAGTCTACAAAAGAACTCCATTAGTTAGAAGCTGCCCCCACCCTGTAATAGTATATTAGGGCCCTATTATATTCCTATTATACCACTATTACAGGGTGGGGGCAGCTTCTAATCCATAAGCAATGAACTCGAAAAGATTGAAGCGGCATTTCTACAAGTTGTCTTTGCCAACCCAGGTGGCTCCATTGCTGCAGCCGCATTCGGCATTTTAAGACGTCGATGTCGGCAATTTCTCGAGCCTAAGGTTTACATGGTTATTCGGTTTAGGGTTTCGGGCTATGGTTGCTGAGGATTTGAAGTATACTCGGTTTGATACGGTTTTTTGGGGGCTTGCACAATAATCATCTTCGGCTCTCCGGTTGCTCCACAGAATGCATGCACTGAGCACTATAGTGTTGGGGCTTAGAAGGGGCCCCCACCCTGTAATAGTGGTATAATAGAATATAATAGGGCCCTAATAATCCCCAATATAATCCTTGTGGTCACTATTACAGATAATCATTAATCCTTTTGGTCACTATTACAGATAATCCTTATGGTCACTATTACAGGGTGAGTGATTCGGGATGGCTCGGATGCCAGGCTCACGGACCATCCCCTAAACCCTACTTTTAGGGTTCAGGTTCCCTTATAAGCCCCGTTAAACCAAAAAGGCACCCTTTTTATCCCTATGTTACTCTTGGGTCTAGCATACCTATAACCAGTTTTCTGGTTAGGATCCACCGCTGGAAAGCTACACCCTCAAACCTACCTATGTGTAGTCTCAAATTGTAGTTCCTTTTTTTGGTTAACCAGTTTTGTGGTTAGGATCCTATAATAGGGATTTTGGTTAGCAAAAAAAGGAACTACAATGGAGACTA